GTAATTACAACAATTTATTCTTACGGGGTTCAGTCAATGGCGCGAGATTCATGCGCTCAGCGGATCGATGGCGCTACCTAGCGACGTCTCCTTCAAACGTGTTTATCAAATGGTCTAACTGGCGACATCTTGGGCACCAACGTGGGACATTCTACAACGGCGCGTTGCAGTGCCACATCGATATTTTATTTTGAAATAAAAAATATATTTCGACAGCGCAAATTATAAACGAATAATGTGTCGTTTACATTTACTTTTCACGCGATATTATTAACCAGATCATTTTAAATGAAACCAAAATGTCGAAGTAAGAAAGACTAACAATTGCCAACATTTAATTGAAGAGATAGACATTCAAGTTTAAAAATTTTTTTAATTTAAATAACACCTTCCAAAGTAAAATATTTTTTTACAATAGAATGCGCTAAAAATAACGAACGTTCCCGGAGGAATTTCCCTAGTTCGGGATTGAAACTATTAATCTTCACATGATACAAGAATTGTAAGCAGTTTTATCGACGGTGGAACATTTATCTAGGGTGCGAGCTGATACTAACAAAGATAATTCCTTATCACAGTCCGGTCCACCTATGCTCGAATATCTCATGTGCGAGAAATCATGATCGCGTGTCCACAGGACATGACTCTCTTATTACGATAAGCGTTTTCACCTCGTACAAGGCCTAAGCTGTCTCTAATAAGAAACGATGCTCACGATCGTGATGACCGGAGGGGACCGCGTGTTCATTACGTGCTAACTATATTTTGTCTATAGATCGCCTACCACTTTCCCATTTATCTGTATCTGCCGTTGCGTATCGCGCATCTCATATACATTAAATGATGCCCCGCGGTCTTACGTGCTCTGTCTCGAAGCTATTTATCGAGAAATACGAAATTGAACATTAGGTTCTTGCATACAGCTGTCGATCTCCGTGCTTTCCTTCACCCAGCGTTATTACATCGATCAGTTCAGTTGCAACATACGTACATATCGGTCTTTTCGGTAATGTTATCAGGTATTGTTATTTGTCGCGTAACGACTGACGCAAAGGGGGGGATTCGCGTGCAATTTTAGGGAACAACTGTCGCACGAGTCGCATGAGAATCGAAAAAGCTGGTGTCTTGTAAGTATCGGTTTGATTATACCGGCAATTCTCCATAAGTCGTGAAAATTACAGATGCCCGTGCAAACGCAGCGTATCGGATTAAGTGAAATATACAGAAAGAAGGGACAGCGCGGGAAGTTATTTTCCCTGCAATTTTTGCAACCTGTTTCCATCTTGTCATTATTTCCATCTTCAATTTCGAGGTGAGCATAGTATTACATCCAGTCAAAAATTATATAATTTAATTATTTAGATTGTATATCTCGGTTTAGCAGCGCCAAGTTTTCTTAGTAAACAATAATGTCGCGAATCAGGACCGACATGTATCCAACAATTAAATTAGAAAAGGCCACTTCTTAATAAAATATTTGTCTGTATTAAATTTGTTTGCATTACACTCTTATTAAATAAAAATTAAAACTTTGTCTCGTTAATATTATTATCCTCTTTATTTCTGACGGTAAAATCTTATGTTCCATTTGTTGGATATAACATTTTAATATAAAAAAATAATTAAGTATCCAGTTTGTATAAAATATCCATTTCAGTTGGGGCAATTGATCGATCCTGTTACTTTTGTAGAAAAGATAGAAATGTTTTTTTCTAACAAAATATGTTCGAATAATTGAATTATACAATGCTTGCTTGGTTAAATATAACAACAAACTTGTCAAACATACTGTCTTTTAAAACGAGATTCAAAAATATCGCGGGCGCACGCGTTATCTTGAACAACCAAGTTATTATATTACAACAATGCAAGGTAGCACGCGAAACCCTTTGCACAGGCATGTGGAAATAAATGATTAAGCTCGCAAGCCAAATAACGAATAAATAAGTTACTCACCCGAAGCTCGCCCCGCAGTCGCCTCCCGGCGCCTCCTCCTCCTCCTCCTCCTCCCAGCCTCCTCTTTCAGCCGTTGCACTCGCACAACACTCACTCACGAGATCATAGTTAATTACACTCACGTAATAATCACCGGAATACGATCGAACGGCGCTGTGCGCGGTGTTAATCGCGACACGCACTTGATTGTATCACACAAAAATAACGCGCGAAAAGAATTACGGCCGGCGTCACAGGGAAAACGGATGAATCTCGATTGGTGCGAAAAGGGTCTCGACGAATCGTCAACGCGGAAACACGAGGGAGCGTGTTAAACCGCGACGTTTGATCATGACTGCGATTGTCGGCCAAGTACGTCGCGGCTCGGATGAATAACTTAAAGATTCCCTCCAATAAGTAACATCCTTTACATATTGGTCGCGTTCGGCGGAGAAAACTCAGTGAGCGCTTGCGCTGATTGGATTAATCTGGAAGAACAGTTCTATCACAGTACAGATGCACAAGTGTAATCCAAAACGCGGCCTGCAGTGATAATCGTGAGACTCGAGCTTACGTATTGTCAATCCTTCGTATAGTATGTGACGCTACGCATCTTCCGGTACCACTCGCGACCGAGTTTCGAAAGATAACGCGAAGATACGTGAACGGTAACGCGCTACGTAACTAGCCGCGCGAGCCTCGCCGAGCGAATGATAACGAACGCGCGCGGTGATCTACAATAGTACGCATTGTTTACCGCGCCCCTCGCCGAGCGGGCAATTCGGTCGTGACGACCGTCGTAAAGATTCCAGGAATTCGCGGCGCGCTCAACCCCCAAAAAACGTAAACAGGTACACGTACCGCCGGTATCTTCGTATTATCATTCACGCAGTCTAACGGACGATCGGCTCCGCGTGTCTTCGCACTGCTCTCCGAGCCGCGATCGCGACAAGTACTACGAAATATTTCACTTTCGTCTCGCGCGAACAATTAGCGACTACCGGTCCGTGATCTAACTGGCTCTCTCTCTCTCTCTCTCTCTCTCGCTCTAACGATGATTGTCTAAAGAAGTAAAGATTTCTTGTACGACTTATCCGTCGTGTAACGTTTAATTTACAATTGTGATACTATTCGGTGCTTCGATAATCGTAATAATCGCATACTGTAAATTCGACATTTATACGATATAGTGTAGTTAAATCTTGTATCGTTTGAGATTCGTGTTTAATCTCGATTCGCTGGTCGCGGGGCTTCGTGCGACCGAAGCTCGTTCGTATTATTTTTCCATAACATTATTTCGAAACGTAACAAAGTGCGTGCAACGTGTAATTAACAATGGAAGCCTCGCACCCGATCGTAATATTCCGATCATTAGTGCGCGCGCGATAATAATTAACTATATCTTCGCGAGTGTATATGGTGTGAGATGTGCGCGTGTGCAACGAGAAAATCTGAGAGGAGGAGGAGGAGGAGGCTCAGGAGGCATCGGGCAACGGTGGAGTAAATGTGAGGTAAATAATTTATTATGTATTTATGCGAGCACCAATTAATCTTTTAAGTAACAATTGTCTCGGTCGCTACTATAATCTGAATATATTTGTATGTTACGTAGTTCTTGTACAATTCTACAATTTCGCTGCTGCGCGTCGCATTGGTAGCGAGTGTGATTCTTCTTTTTCATTTTAAATCAAGGCGTCAGAGATAAAGCTAAAAAGGACGCAATTAAAAATAGGTACAACATATCACAGATCCATTGTCTTAAAATGGATGGGCTAAACAGAATAGAATGGATAATTTATCCTGGATAAACGCTCCTTCGTTTATTGGGCACATTTTAAATACAAAAATGATATTCGGGAAATACAATTAAAAGCACCATGAAGAAAGACTGATTTATTAATAATGTCGGTTGGACAATTTAAAAAGTCAAGTACCTACATTGTAGTTTCGCAAATTTATTGCTCTCTTAAATGAATAATGAAAAATAAGAATAAACCTGTAAGAAATAAAATGTTTTAAACATATAGTTTTATTTAAATTCGGCACATGGACACATGTACATTTTTCATGTATGTAAATGCAAAATGTATAAACGCGTTGATATGTGCGCAAATTCACGTGAACACATTTATATGTATAGTGACTACATATGTAATGACTTACATATGTAATGTCGATATATAGTTTTTGTCGAACAAGAGCTCTACGTTCAACATTGCAAAATCTGAGGTGTCGGAGTGCTCTCTTATGTTAAATTGAGCAAGAAAGGAGAATAAGATATAGAAAGAGAGAGAGAGAGAGAGAGAGAGAGAGAGAGGAAGAAGAGTATTCTGACACCTCAGATTTACAATGACGAACGTAATAGATATAAAAATATACACTCGTGTATTTTTGACTGTCGCACGAGTTGCACGAGAATCGACAAAGCCACAGTTTCTTATAAGTATCGATTTGATTATATCGGTAATTTTTCATAAGTCATGAAAATTACAGCTGCTCCTACAAACGCAGCGTGTCGGATTAAGTGAAATATACAGAAAGAAGGGACAGCGGAAAGTTATTTTCCCCGCAATTTTTGCAATCTGTTTCTCTCTTATAATTATTTCTATCTTCAATTTCCAGTCTAGTATATCATGTCAGAGCCGACGTGTTGTATATATTTTTCAGAATTAATTGAATTAATTTTATTATTTATTAATGATTCTTTGTTTGTAATAAATACCACTTATAATCGTAACTTATAATAAAAGATACTTGCGAAGATCCTAATTTTAATTTGGTAGAAATTTTATTGTACTTTAAGCAAATTCTAAAATGAAAAATATTAATCATGCTTAAAGTATAAATGTTTTTTTCGCACGCAATGTATTAGTGATGCATAAAACATGATTTATATATGCTGGAAATGAATCATAATAAAAATATGTAGATATTGTATAAGATTTTTTGACTCAGGATAATACATCAGGATCAAGAAAAAAAATAAATTTCTCAGATTTTATTGTCTTTGGATAAATATTTGAACATTGATAAACAGTAAAATCGTTTGATTATGAAATGTACAATATTAAGACTCTGCATTCTAAACAATTACTATATTTCCTACGAATTGTTATATTTTGCTAATACATTATACATTGTAAATTGTTAGGGAACAAATTATAATTTAGTTTAGAAAAATGATCATTTATTGAGATCTCCCTTTTTGGCGTGACAAAAATTGAAGAAAGATGAAAGCGAAACCACTTGATATTTACGCGTTTATTATTTTTAATTATTTCCCGTCACCATATAACAGCAAAGGCCGTATAACATTTAGCGTTCCCAAAGCGATGAAGAACTTCCGTGGTTTTGTTATTTCGCTCGTGTGCTTGCTGGTTCAGTTCCGGTTCTTTTCTTTCTCTCCCACACCTCATTCTCGATACTGAAATCGATAAAGCAATTATTTAATCGTCAACGTAATATCTAACGTTATTAAAAATGGAGATAATGCTGTCGTCGACCAATCCGGCAAGTTTATTGATTAAACGTACAACGTTTCGGCCATGGGTTTTGGCCCTTTTCAAGCAGAATATTTAGTTTGGAACGCCATCAGATCTAGTTACTGCTCAGTCGTTGTTTAGCTTTCGCAACGAGAAGACATGCGATCCTAGTCGTGTCAAACGCTTACCATTACACTACGTGGTTAACTAGATCTGATGGCGTTCCAAACTAAATATTCTGCTTGAAAAGGGCCAAAACCCATGGCCGAAACGTTGTACGTTTAATCAATAAACTTGCCGGATTGGTCGACGACAGCATTATCTCCTTTAATTACCACTGGCGACTTATCATAATATCAATACAGTTATTAAAAATATTTTTTTAAATTTCGTTAAAATAAATGTATAAACGAATAATTTGTAAGATTATTATCTTAATAATCATTTTTAATCTCATATGAACAAGTGTCTGAATATATTTGAATATACATGAAGGGCGACACTACGTACATACATTTTAATAAATTGAAATATTTTTTAAGCATTAAGTTATATTGAAACAACAAATTTAATGTCTTTCAAACAATGCGGTTTCGTAAAACTTACTCATCGCCGTCCCTTGAAAATCCAGCTAATGCCCTCCATAATTCCTTTGGACCTTCGATCGCTAGAGGAAAATTCTGCCAGGTCCATTCCTCAACTGACAAGAAAAGGCAAGGCTAATCGTAGGATTATTTGGTTACACACATGTGAAAAAATATATCAACGAATTTCTTACCTTTCGAGGGATAATCTATACGCCTTTTAGTTAAACCGGAGTAAGTTTCTTGTTTGTCTTGCAGCGATGCAGGATTGAGTGACTTGAAAAATGCAAGGGGTTATTTAAGATTATTATTACATAAACGAAACTTTTGAAATACGTACAATAATACAAAAGAATAATTATAGCAATCATTATAATAAAGATTATAATGATTGTGTTAATTCCACTAATCAGATACCTGTTGATTACTTCTACCAATTCGAGGTATATGCTTCTCAGCTTTGTAAAAGAAATTTTCAAATCTTCCGCTTCGACCTACTCGAGGTAGAGTAGGTATTTTGGCGATTTTCAAAAAGAACGCTGGTACTTCCTCCGCCATTGTGGTATTTTGACAGAGCAACAACGTGACAGTTCCAATAAGAAAAGCTGAACATGTGTTACACGTAGAAATAATATTGAACATTACGTTTTAACATTTAAATAAACAGATTCCTAGGATATATTGTACTTAAATAATCCCTAAACACGTATCTTGGTAAATTTATACAGCAATACGTAACGCTAATTAGCTTACCGTTAAAGTAGACATTTCCGATTCGCTGAGTGCGAGCCCTCTGCAGCATCATTTCGGGAAAGTCGCGGTAAATACCTGTAATGAATCAAGCGCAATTCAATCTTCAAGAGCAACTTCACCCTTTGAGCAGCACATGACACCGATTATACGTTTCAGAATCGATCGCAATAATTATTTCTGTGAGTGAGCGTGCGCCAATCGACGTGGCATCCTCGATCGCAGCAGACGCGTAAGTGACTGCCATAGAAACTTGCCGATTCCCGCGGGAAGGATGCGCGTCTCGCGGGTGTTCGGCGAACACTGAGCGATTTTTCGCGTGCATACGGCTTCTTCCATTACCGGGAAGAGTGGACCGGAGTGCTCGACGATTGTGGGCGAAGGAGAATCGACGAGAAGTTTGCACGTCGCGAAACCCCATCGCATTTGAATCACGCTGACTGTTTGTCCTCGCTCGCGTAACACGCACAGAAATATTCAGCCGCGCACCCGCGCGAATAAAATGCATTCTGTAGAATTTGATGTGTCGTAGGACGTTACGAGAAACGTTTGACGTACCGCTACGCTGTTGCACAGGCAAATAAAGAATTTCCGAAATCACCAGCGCGTGATCGATAACACCCCCGTTGCGGAATTGAAAAGTTCTCTATGTGGGTACTCTCTAAAGTTTTTGGAGTGAAAATAGAACCATGGAGTGAAACGTTCACTCTATTGGAGCAAATCTTTACTCTATTAGAATGAATATTTACTCCAATAGAGCTAATATTTCACTCTATGGTTCTATTTTCACTCCAAAAACTTTAGAGAGTATAAATTAAATGTATCTTGTTGAAGCAACTGAAAATTAAACTACACACAGTCGCGTTCTTAAAAATAATTTGTTTTAATAATCGTTTTAATTAATATGTAATAATGTTTTAGTTTTTACGAATTACGAATAAAAATATCTATTTTAACTACAGTTGCCAAGCTGTTCGCTTCGGAATTCCATAAAGAGCGCGTATTACATTCCGCGGTATGACATTTGCTCTTCTATCTCAAAATCACAAGAAAGATATTGGTTATTCTAATTTTTAATGCGACGGAGATTTAACGTTGAAAACTGCAGATCTTTCGTAAAAATCAGAATTTAATAAAAGATAGATTCCGATTGAATAGTAACGAATAATATCCCTTACCTGTAGGTGAATTGGGTGCAATGGGCTCAGCTCTATCAGACCTGACGTATTTATACTTGATTAAAGAGCAATTAAGTATTTAGTTCATGTACGCCTTGTAAATCCACACCAATGTTTGTCTTTAACAGTATCGAGAATAAATTTCTCGGTTGGCTTTTATCAGCGGTAGATTTATCGTCCCGGATAAAGTGCTTTTATAATTTTTAATTGGTACTTTAATTTGATATGAATTTCTAATAAATTCTTGAAAAATGTAATTTTATGCTGCGGTTTTAATGTAGAATGCATACCGACTTGCTACAGAATATAATTATTTATCGCTGTTATTACCTGAAAATAAAATCTAATATTGTACCTGCAAAATTAATTCATTCTACTACTACAATTGAATGTTTGCTTATTTCTGTATAAGTATAAAGTATCTCATGTGTTTATGAAACGATAAAATTAAATATACGTCAATACTTTCGCGATTGATTCGTATTGCTTGTCTTTTCTCAGCCGTAGACAATAGACTATAAACCCTTATCCAGGCAGGTGAATGGTACGTGCTTTTCATATCAAATTGCTACTTGTCTACATTTAACTGAGTTTCAATGAACTCTTACAATTATTGAAGTTGCTCAATTTGAAACATTCTGTTAAATATACGCTTTACTATTGTAAACATTCTAATTGGTGATTTCTTTACTACAGAATTGTTTAAAAAAATCGTCGCGAAATTACCGTGTGTTAACTAAAGTAAAAATATAAACGGATAATATTAGTCAACACTTTTATGTAATGAATCTGAGAAGGAGAAAATAATTAAAATGGTATTAATTAGCTTCTGAAATCATAATATTTTATTTGGAACACTTTTGATAAACAAAGCTAGATCGTGGAAGCTTAAACCATCGTAATTACAATATTGTTTAGATATAAATTACGATTAGATATGATACATAATGATTATTGATAGAAAATAATGTAACGAACATTGAAGCGCATGATTGCGGGTACTTTACAGGAGTTCGGTTAATTACATTGTTTCATGGGTCGATCAGTCGGCGAGAATCGTAGATCATCTCGGTCGGTTTTTCATCTTCAGTTGGATTCTTGATGAGACAGCCAAGCGGTACAGGTCTCGCTAGCGACCTCGCAAATAGCTGACAGAGCGCGGCTGGTAACTTCGTAATCTGAGAAGCAATACAATTTATTGATTATCTTTTTGGCGAATAATAAGAACTTTATATCAAATAAGAGTTTGAGGAACGAGAAATACAGACACGATACGTTTCAGATAATTTTTACAAAATAATATACCGTATAATAAAATTATATTTAGTTGGCCGATATTCTAATATAAGCTTATCTAACAGATGGTGTTAACTTCACTTGTTTATTCGTAGTCCGTTTTTACTACAATACCTTAAAACTGCACTTAAGATGGTCTTATACATATAAGAACGGACCAGGAATAGATTTAAAATTGGCTTTTACTCTCCATAAAATTGAATCTTTTTTGATATTTCAGAGTTTTGCATTATACGAAGATAATGCAAAACTTGTACTTACCAGTCACAGTGTTAGATCGTTTGCCGAATATGCTACCGTTGAAAGGTGGTTTCTTGTAGGCAGCATTTGCGCTAATGACGAAAGCTACCATGATAACAGCAAGAGCCATGATAAGACGGATGGAAACCATGTTGGCGCGTTGATCTGTTTTCGTCTAAAACAGAAAAGACAAAATTTATTGTTTATTTGTAACGACAAACTTTTATAACTATTATCTTATTTCGTTTAGCAGAAAAAATTATTATCAGTTTTATAATAACTGTAGATAAATGGTAATAAATTTTAGTAAAGTTTGCAATAAATAAATTTCAATATAAAACGAAGGAAGCTTACTCTCTTTCGGGCGAACGAAAAGAACTTGTTTGATTCTTAGAAGATTGTCGGCCACCGAATGTTACGAGCGGCGCAAAAGCTGCGAGCTTTTATACTCGGGGAAACGATTCAAAGACAAATGTCTCCATCAAACGCAGTCGACCTACATTATTTGCAAGTAACGTCACGGGTTCGTCCAAGGGTATTGATTTGTCGCGAAATATCAAAATTCGTAATAACTGGCGATGGCCAGCTTGTGTGTCACATAAAGCCGCTATATCGAGAAGTTATTGGAATTAGAAATATTTTGACACGTGGAAAGCCTAGATTCATTCGAGAATTTAGAAATTTTGCACAGAATAAAAAATATATAACGTAAAAATAAAAGTCACACATACACATGACGTACATGTATGTATACAAATATAATTATTGTAATTAAAAGTATGTGATGCTTTCACCTGAATGAACGGGGTGTGTCCAAGAGATAGTTGGTACTCGACTGACGCTTCTTCGGTGGTTGGATCGGCTTTTATATGAGAGTAGCCTATGCTATAAGGGTGTAGTGTGTGAAGAAATAATAAGCTATCAGAAAGTGTAATGCAATTGAAGACCATCCTGATTGCCTCTTACTTCAGGGAAATAAAAATTGCTTCAATCGCATCGTATAGACCGTGTATCGAAGCTCGTAATAAAATCACAGTTTAATAGATAATAATCTATTATTCACAAATATATTAATCCCCAAAATATTAATATTTATTTAATAATTAATATTCATTTCATTTTTATTGTACAATGTTTTCAATAAATTGCTTGACTGTGAAATATTATTAACAGGTTCAAATTTCATGACTTTATTGTGAAAAATGAAGAAGTAAAGAACATGTTTATTAATAAAGTAATTCTATAATAATTTTAGTCATTCTAATTAATGGCCTTTTAATTATATCTATATGTCTAATATGATATAAATATATAAGTTAAAAGAATAAGGAGTTCAAAGTATTTTTATATTACGTACCGTTTAAACAATTATTCGAAAAATTATATTCTATATGATTTTGACATAATTTTGACAGAAAGATAAAAATATATTTATAAGTAACGTAAGATAAGTTAGTATTCAGATAAATATCTGTTTCTTTAAAAATGTATTAATCTTGATAAATATTGTGAAGTGAAATTAAAAAAGTATCTACCTATTGTCGATATATCTCGGAGGATAACCTGAAATTTCTGAGACTTACCTTTCGTCACCGACAAAGTATTCAACAAGTTACTTTCGCTAGGGTACTTCCATCGCTGTAATCGATAAAAGACTTTGCTATACTTTCCGCCGATGATATATTAATCAATATTTTCAAGACATTTTCGAAACATTTTAAAGGAGATCATTTCTCAAGTGTTAATAATATTGCAAATTTATTGCATTATCGCTATTCACTAATCATTTTACTTTCCCTTAAAAAGTAATTATTATTTTTTACTGAAGTAACGGCAGAATTTTATTCCTATAAACATCTTTTTTATTATTATGTGGGGCTAAGCATATACATTAAACTTTTCCGACATATACATATATAATATTTTATAATCTTGACATAAACGGTATAAATATAATTTAAAAAATTATTATTTAAAAGAAACTCGCACGCATGAGTTGACACATGATAGAGCTTTTTAAGTAATTATTTTATTTAGCTGGCAAATCGTTTAAGATAATAGCATTTCGCTTGTATATAGTTATATTACATATTAGTTACAATCAACGATTTTTACAGATACTATAGAATTAATTATTAGAGAGGTACATTAAATTTGATTAATATGGTATCTTTTATGTTATTACTTATCACAATGTATATATGTAATGGGATAAAATGAATACTTATATTAATATAATGAATATGCATATAAGTATTTGTATAAATAATAACATATATACATATATTAATATAAGATAATAAAATATTAGAGCCAAATTTATCCATGCTCTCGGCGAACGACCGATTTTCGAATATATTTATTGCATGTATATAATTAAATTATAATCCTTCCTCTGGACACTCAACAAATAACTCTTTGTTTAAGCATTGCTTCTTTTCTCTTTAAGTGCAGATACGTCTGCTGTATAAAAGAAATTTACAGAATCAACGAACTGTGTGTACTTATATCGATTGAATACCGAGAGCATGATACGATTGAAAATACATCGTACAGGCATACTAGAGTCTACGTCTTATTGTCGCGTCACAACTTTGTTTTCTTAATTCGGCATGAGAAACAAACACGTCGTCGATTACTCGCTGTACGACCTACGTAACGATTATTTTATAAGACTAATAGTTTTTCGATCGGAAGCAATCGATGACGTATTAATGCCGGACAAGACTTATCGTACTAAGAACGAGTAAACTATCTTTAGTAGCATATACCTTTGTCACTTATGTAATATAAAGCGGTCTCTGTCGCCGAAGAATAATTCAACTACAAAGTGGAAGACATGGATTTTGTTTCGTTCACTTATTTACTTATTTAATATACTCTATTGCGTTGTATAAAAATGATTAGTCGCTTTAGGTAAACTATAATCAGCGCGAGACTGCACGTGCATATCATGCGCGCATATAAGTAGAATTTATTGCATAATACACATATCACACATCGATGTCTTGTTCACACGTTGCAAGTATTTTGATCGAATTTTTATGCCTCCAGACACATACATAAATATAAATTATCTTAATGAAAACTAGTAAGTTTATATATGTATGTAATTAATAATTGTGTGTGAAATAATTAAATTTTACTGAATTTTCGTTCTATTTAGCAGAGATTATCTATTAAGGAATTAACATTTATTTGCATTTATGATAATGTGTACTAGAGAAAGATTATTTAGTTGAGATATTTTTTAAACAAAACTATTTGCGAAACATAAACTATATATAGAAATATATTTTTGTCTACATTTTATTACACGATAAGAAGCAATGTGTCGACGCATCGTAGGATGTAATATTCTTTTAAATGTTTCTTAACTTGTTGTGTGATGAACAAATCGAATGAAGGACGTTAAAGTATACATATTCGTTACAATCATGTTTTGTTGTATAATTAGAATCCTTTAGGAAAGTGTACATTATCTGAAATATTACTGAAGAATTGTGTATTAAAATGAAAATTTCATCGTTCGAGAAAGGAAGAACGTGTAACGCATTCGTGTGAACTGGACCTGTGTAGAACTCTCTTAAGCCTAAAGCGATTACAATGTTAAACATTAAGTGAAAAATCTTATTGTTATATTACAATCGTTAACATAATGTTTCGCAATTATAATGCTGCAAGTATATCAATACTAATACGTATTAAGTTTTGAAACTAAATTCTCACAATTTTTCTGTAATAATTTATTTTGCTCGAATATTTTTCGTTTCGTTTCGATTTATTTAAAACGTTCTACTTCGACTTTATATAAACTGGTAATAAAAAATAACAGTAAAAATAGACAAATATATATAAATACATATAAAAGTATTAACACATATAAAGAAAGAAGAATTCAAATCACATATATAAAAAGCACATGTATATTAAAAATAGAAGAATACAAAATTTAAGAATGGAATAATGTATGGAAAGGCATACTGATATTTTTATAACCCTTGAATCATGACGAACTAATAATAATAGTATACAATTTTTGGAATTACGCATATTACAAAGCATTTCAACAGATAATAATTCAAGTACCAAATAATTTATTAGTTTTTCTTACGTATTATAATTATTATTATATATTAAATTGACGTGGCAAAAATCAATTTGAATAGCAAAAGTAAGAAATAAAATCATGTTTCAGATTTTATTTCTCTTTTACGTCTCCATAATTACGATAAGAAATGCCTTTAATACAACGAATCCATTAATCTATAAGATAAATTCATGCCCCGCACCTCCTTTCTACGCGAACTCCTGCCTATTATGTTTTATTCACGTATATGTTTTAAGTAATTGTTCAACTTTCTAACTCTGGGCGTATAATTCGCAATTACAGTTTTCAGAAGTTTTGGTGTACGTGCATATTTCCTTGCACTTTTTGTCCTCACTAATAGAGTCCTCGGTGTTTTGGTTCTGATCCTGACCTTCATTTGGATTCAACAATATTTCTCTCGGCTCTCGGGGACGCTCGTCTAGAGGAAGTTTGATAAGTTCTGGACTGTCATCTCTAACCACGGAGAACATTTTATTCATCACAAGCAGGGTCTTGCCTAGTTCGTCGATGTCCGGCATGTCGGTTGATGTTTCCACCGTTGCGTCCTGGTCTTCATCCGTCTGTTTTTTCGCTTGTGGTTGATCCGTTTTCTCTTCAGTAACTCGTTCCTCTCGTTCTAGAACCATGTTATCTGTTTCGTCCGTTGTCTCCTCAGCATCTCGTTCACATGAACTAAATAGTTTTGGCACCGGCTCATCTAGTTGGTCCGTTTTCTCCTCAGTATCTCGTTCAGTTTGCCTTGGACTCGGGTCATCTGGTTGTTCCGTTTTCTTCTCAGCACCTCGCCTTCTACGTACTTTAGTTTGATCTCTGACGCACGCGTCCGTTAGCTTTCCTTTGGCTAACGTATCTGTCTGATTCTTGAACAGCTCCTCGTGAAGCTCACACAGGATGATTGTATCGAGAGGGGAATTGAGAATATTCGTCACGATATCCTCCGCCAATTGCTTTACCAAAAAGTCGAGCCTCCAACTTTCGTGCAGCCGCATAGTGTTCGGACTCAAGGGTGTTAAAGCTTCACAATAACATCCTAAACTCGCTCCGAGAGACGATCTCAGAGCGAAACAGTTAACTTCCGAAGAGATTGACAGGTCGTAGCTGCACAGTTTCAAGCAGTGGCTGGCAATAATCCATGACTGGTGCTCGTCGCTGCCGGACTGAAGCTTGCAGTTTACTTTGGGATATCGGGGAAATAGGTTCGGATCCCGCTCTCGCTCGGATTCAGTCTCTGCTCCGGGATTGCAGAGCAAGGCGCAAGCGTCGACCACGAGAGGCCTTGGCACGCTCGCGGCGCGGCCCACCATCGCCAACAGGAACACCCAACGGAACGTAGGCGTCATCTGAAAATGATGGCTAATCAATATTCTGAAGGGGATGCGGAGCTCCGCGTTCCGATGCCAGCTTATTGAGAGGGGTGTATGGCTAAGAAGGAATTTCTGGAGTCTGACCGCGCACCCGCACAGTGTATATCCGAGATAGTCAGAATTCGATAGCCGCTGTACATACAGGATAAACGATCGGCTGGAGATGATCGGAACACTTACGAGATTTTAAACAATGTAGTAGATGTTTGTGGAATATTGAGCGTGCGCGATTTCAGTATCGTGTCATTTTACGAATTTCTTATTTTGATTTCGAAAATCCGGCAGATATCACGACAGAAAGTTTATTTTATTTCTTCAAAATTCAAATCGTTATAGGAAATGATTGAAATAGATTAAAAGTGCTTTCTACTTACTTTCAATTTAAAAAGGTAATTTGAGTACCGAACTTTCTCGCAGTAGAATTTTACTGGAACGTTCAGAAACAAATATCTGGTGCTGATATGAATATCTATATCCTCTTCGGTTTAAAGAATTCGTTGAAAGTGACTTCGATCCACAGAAATGTACACTCACATCGGCGTCCGAAATACAAATATCTATTTCAACACACAACTGACGGCTTTATAGCGTTGGTACGGAGCAGGGCCGATCTTAGCATCGGTAATGCCTAGTGCAAATTGATATCCTTCCTTTTTTCACATATCAAGTAGTGCTAATATTCTTTAATCAGCAAAAAAATTCCAAGGAAAGAATCTAGACATCTATATATAGATCTAGATATTAGTAATATAATAAAAGTATCATTATTTCGACTTTCATCTATATCTTTATATAAATAATAAAGTTGAGTCTGTACATTTGAAATGGTACAGTTTTAAATAATTTTGTTTGAGATTTTAACAATAAATGTAGAATATTCTTCCGTAACTACTTCATTAATAGTTTTAATAACCAAATTCATAGAACAACTGAAGGAATCTGTATGAAAATTTAGTTTATGAACAGTTCTTAAATTATACTGTCGAGGCTTCTTGTAGCTGTAGGCTTAATAATATTTTTTAAAGTAACACGACGAATAGTTTCTTCTTTCAGTTTGGCATTCCGAAGCTTGGCGCCCCGAATTTGGTTCCCCGTTCAAAGTGTTATTCGCACATACCTAAATCCGTTATTATCAAGTCACCTTACTTAATCATAACAAACTGTTAGTTCGCTATACAAAGGAAATATCGATAGCTCGTGGCGAGCCGAACAGCGAGCCAGAATGTAGTCGTTGTTTAGTAATTAAATATTTCAGTTTGAGTTATAATTGCAATAATTTAAAATTATTTATGTCATTAATAAACCTTGAGATGATAATTGAAAAAAATGCCGAATATTTTAAACCATTTTAGATACTCTTCTCAGTGACAAATTAAACTATAAATTTAGAAATGTATTCTAAAGAAAGATTTTATTATTAATTTTAGAAACTGTAATTCTAAATAAGTTTCTTGAAGGAGAAAGGAGTATTATACAAAAGAATATTCACTCGGTAACAATTAGCTTAGACTGTAGACAGATTCTTCTGTAACTATGAAGGTTTTATAACGACTCGACAAAGCCGTCATAATCCTTTTATAGAAAATGACAATCTTTATAAACATTTCTTACACACGCTGCTAAGCATAGAATTCTTTGATGTAGATGTTTGTAACCTTATAAGAAACTCACTTAAAAATAATTAGTTAATCATTTTAACTAATAAATAATTAAAATAGTTAACAACTTTTTAATTAAATAAGTTAGTGCTAATCACTGCTTATACATAACTTGAGATCGCACACAAGGGATAGCCCTTATATTATAGTGATGATATGTGCAGATTTCTATTATACTTTATCAAATAACGTTAGTAAGTTTATCAAGTAACTTATATAGAAGTTCATCACTTACATTTAATTACTTTCAGTTGATATAAATCATTTTATAACCGAACCGAAACTGTAATAAATAATAAGATTTTCATATATTGATATAGACATATAAGAAATTGAAAGTCTGTAATTTTATAAGATTTAATTTATGAATTTTTATTGTATGTAACTTTATTTCAAAGTTATACTTTAAATACAACGGAAAAAGACTAATAACATGCGTAATTTCTAAATATTTACAAGAATATTTATACCTTAAAGGAAACGTTAGAAAAGTTTGGATTTTACGAGGTTTAAATGTAATTATTTTTAAATTGTTATAAGTTTTATTATCCTTTTTCTATTTTAAATTATGTAATTAGATAAAGTTTTCAAATTGCGATAAAGAAAAACTTCTATAATCGTAAGTTTAATACTTTCAAGAAAGTTACGAAATTCAAGAGATTAAATAACTTAACCAATAATACGTATAAATTATAATTAAAAGAGCAGATTTAAGAGCGAAAACAATCGATTTATTTCATCAGACAATACAGATATTTTAACGAAGTTTAAACGAGTTATGCTTCTTTAATCGCATAGAAACGATATATGTAGTTATATTTATTGTATCGTTATATTATAGAATTAAAGGAGTAATAAATTGCAAATATATAAATTACCGAAATATAAACGTTCTTTGTGTTTCAATTACGTAAACTAAATAAAGTAAATTCCATATAAATTTTCTAATAACAATATAAAGAAACGATTAAGCACTTTATTTCACAATTTCAAAATTTTAATGTATAATATTGTCAATTATTTTTAGTTTTAGTCATTACTTCTTATATTTAATACATTTAGACAAATTTTTATCTTTTAATGATATCTGTAGTTAGTTTGCAACTTTATAAGTAAACACATTAGAAAATTAAATGCACGTGATATACTGTGCTATATATTTTAAGATTTATATTTAAAAATTGTAAAAATTATATAAGTGGTGATTAATCATAATATAACAATTTAATTTTTGACGGGAAATAAAACGTGATACATGAAATCACCGATGATTAATTATCGAGTAAGTGGGGAACATGTTTTTTAATTAATAAAATTACACTTAACAATAAATAAATTTTGATAGGTAATAAAATTAACTATCAAAATTTATTTATTCTTAAGTGTTAAATAAAAATCTATTACATCTAATATTATTCTACAGAAGAAGAGTAAAAGGAAAACAACGTAAAAATATCACAGTAAATAGTCAGTAAATTTTTAAAGGTAATGTGGGGTGTGTGTTTAGACAAATCCAGTTGCGAACGTTACATGGATTGTCAATTCGAGCTAAAGTTTTTCAAAAGATGAAGAATAGAAAGACTGTCAGTATCTTCGTAGCTGAGTTGCTGCCTTCTAAGAACGGAAGGTGGATGCTGGGATCGATGCTGTCCGACTGCGTTCCATTAAATCGGCGACCTACTCCTCTCCCTGCCAACCATGGTAAAATAACTTGGATCTCCTCTTAAAACAGTCACCCCGAGTTGATAGTTGCTGCTCGTAGAAACTTCGCGCTAAAGCTTTTCACGCGACGATAATGCTCGTTCTTGCTGATATGTCATGACAACCGAGTGAACAACAGCATTGTTTTAGGACACTATAACTGTCTTCCATCAACGACTGATAGGAATTTATAAACAGGTCTATTTAATTGAAAACCGATTTCATAATTTAATAAATAAAATTCAGTAGGATTAATTTTATAAACATTACAATTGGGAGGAGAGAATGGTAGCGCATTCTTTCTTTCTCTTCAGTGGATGGAACATATTAGATTTTAGTTTCGTTTTAACAAACTTAAATTATAAAGAGGAATGGAGTAAAATTATTATTACAATTAATCTGGGATTATCGATAGTTTAATTACGTTGTATAATTCATATTTGCAATAATTACATTCAGTGGCAATATGTCTTTTATCCTACATTTACATCATATTATTTCAAAGGAAAAGGATAATCGGCCAGGCACGGCGCAATCCTTATAAAACAATCAAGTTGAAATATTAATAAGAAATTGTGTAGCAATGGGATTTTTCGTATGCATTTTCTTATACATGTTCTTCAATAGAAATTTGTCTCGACACTGGTACAAATCCCGATTTCAATTTTGCCCGTTGTTCACAACTTGAAACATTGACACGGTATTGCAGGAATAGTGGATCGCGTTACATCGACTGCGCCCACATTGAGGATTTACACGCCTACATGGGGCGCAAAATATACCGACGTCAATGAGAAAGGTACTCGCGCTGTACTCTAGTTACGATCCTGGCCCTTTCTGGGTCTCGTCCTGTCCTCCACCTACAACGAAGGACGGAGGACGGTATTGATTAAATTCACCGACGGCCATTTTGTCCCGGCGTTCCATTGGTTGCCGTCCATTTTGTCCTTTCCACCCCCTTCGGTGTAACCATAATCGTTTCTTCCTCTTCTAGTATCGTTGTCTCTGTTTACCTACCTGTTCACGTTCTTCAGCCCCGATCCACCCTCGTTGTCGGCCGAAGACGCAGGCGTCGCGACATTTTCCGCGGAAGAAATCGGACCATCGGCAATTAGATTCTTCTTTGGTAACCCGTTTCGCATCCTAATGAGCGCTCCGTTTCTGTTGAGATGTATTTTGGAGATATTAAACTTAACATTTCAACATCGTCTCCCGATCGATGATATGTTGACTTTTCTTTTAGATTTAGTCTAGAAGAAAATTATTAAGTGACCCTGAATTTACTTGTAATTAAGGTTAAAAGGGAAGAGACAACTGCTTCTTCTCAAAAAGCTACAAATACTATCATTTTATACAATGGAATATTTAATGAATTTAATATCGTTCGTGTACATAATTTCATTCTTAAGATTATAAATGAGCTAAGTACTATTTGAAAGTACATGTTTTGTACGTATCACATTTTATCAAAAATTTTCGGGTGTAGGGACGTAAAAAATTTATGACATAACTGTTGTGCATTTGTTGGAATACGCATGCTTTGGAAATTTGTGGATGTATCATCTTTCAGAACTGTCTTGAACTTTAATCTACCACCATCTCCTAACGCCGGTCTCGACAGATTGAGATTCTTGTTTTCTAGACGCCTCTTCAGCTCAACGTCCTAAGGTAGCGAATTGAATAACACACAAAAGTGTCGGTAGCGGATAGTTTCGCTGCGGAAACCGCACGCGGCTAGGATAAACAAAAAGGAGTCTGGAAACATAAAAAAAAGCGAGAGAAATTGGCATACTATTTGCTTTCCTTTACTCTCTTCTTTCCTCTGACGTCAAGAGCGACGTTGGCTTCGGGATTGGTAGCGTGGCGACACGCCCTGGTATCCACCACTATGTTTCATCCTTCATCTCCCACCAGTCGCGACTGGACACGACCACGCCTACGCAAAAGCACCCCCGATTGGGAAGGGTGGCTGCGTAGGTTGCGCGAGATGAAACTGGGTCAGGCAGACTCGAGGCAGGCCGAGTCAGGCCGAAGCTCGAGAGTCGTCCAGGCGTTTTCGGTACGAAGCAGTCCCTTGGAAACCACCCTGAAGCCCGTCGTCGCTTCACCACTCCGTCGGCATTTCACCCTTCAAACCTACGCTCGTTCTGAGGCAAAATCTAGTCCCCATTGAGATCACAAGTTAAGTCATCCGGCCACGAAGGAGATCTGACGAAGAAGAAGGGATTAGGTGAGTACGAGATAAATATTATAGGAGGTAGATAATTTCTTTTTATTAGATTGCAATTAAGTTTTGGTATAATGTATGTTATATAGAATTATCAAGGAATGTTTCAAAATTTGACAATATGTTTTATATTATTCCAAATGTTTTTTCAACCACATATTTTATAAAAAGTGTAATGATAAGGTGAAATTTAAAAATGTAGAATGAGGAAACGTTTAAACGGTATATATTCTTTAAAAAAAATTATTAAAATTGCAGTAGGTTAGCCAGCTGCCAGAAAAATTTAAATATGTATACTAATATAATGTACATGTATAATAATTCAAATAGATTTGCTATTAATAGAAAAGATTTTTCAATAATAAACGAAAAACTAATAAATGGATAGTGATTGCAAATTGAGAAACTTTTTTAATTTGGATACCAAGCTAAATTACTAACATACAACTTTAAAATTATATTAAATTACTAAGTTATAAATTAATAATGTGATTTTTATAATTAAGATATTAACAAAGTCGGGTCTCTCAATATTCAAGTCTTGATTTTTATATCTTTTTTTTAATTGGCTTATTTTTAATGAATAATTTAAAATTATAAACTGTTTGGTTCCATTTAATTTTCATCGTGATATCAACTCGTGGATTTACAATTTACAATCTCTCAAATATTTATCGCGATCAGCTAATCCTTTTTCTTCTGTGTGTAAGAACTTTCGCTAAATTTAAAATACTCCCTCAAATTTCGAAAACTGAAAACTAAACTAAATCTAGAATTGTCAGAAAAATGATCGTAAAAAAAATTGAAATACGGAATAAAATGGTATCGTTAGCAATATAATCTTTTATAAAACTCATTTTCACGAGAAAACTGAAGAAGAAATTAAAATGCAAAGTAAAGTAATACAGCTCACAATTTAATTTTATAAATATCAAATTAAAATTTTATTTATATTAACAAAAGAGATTTATCTGTTTTCTGAACTTTCCGAAAATTTAATATAAATTGTTCACTCGTATTTCTTTATTTCAAAGTAAAGAAGTTTTAACACATTAATATGGGAAAAATAAATGACAAGGTATCTTATTGTTAGTTATTTAACATGACATATTTCTTCTCCCCAATACATTCATTAATCATGCATGTCTCATAAACATTCTAATCTCTTCTTTACATTTTCGTCTGTTGCACGTTTTAATGTTTTTAAAGGAATCGGTGAATGTCTTTCGGATCTTTTTCAGCTTATTTCTCATGCTTCCAGGACCGCTCTATTGATTCAAAGAGCAAAGCGATCTGATTGCTTGAGAAATTCAAGAAGGCTGTCTTTTAAATAAATTTAGAATATAAAGTGTGATTGATGGTCCAAGTTTATCCATTCTACGGCTACATATTTACATAATTGTTAATAATAATAAACTAAATTTTATTTGTTGTTTGCTCTGTTCCATTCTACACTTTACGAGTTTATCAGATGTCTCTTACTTACAAATTGAACTTATATTCTATCTGCGACAGAGTACAATTGAGCATGATTCTGTGCCTTCTTCGGTATCGCATCTTTACTTACTCAAATTTAATCCCGCAGACTGTATGTCATAGCACGATTCTTAGATAGTATTCAAGGATAGGTTTCTGGCTATCTTCTGCACACGCTTTGATAATACCGCTTTATTCGATATTATAATAATAAGTGTAAGTGTAAGTTACTTTTATATCATATTATTTCAATTTATTATTTTCTATATTTCTTCTTTTCTACATATCACATTAATCTTATTCTTTATTTCAGCAGTAATCTTGCAATCTTTATCTTTTATAATTTTTTTATATATTAGTAATTTTTCCGAATTTTCTCTTTTTGTTAGTTTCTTTGTATTAATTATTTAAATTTTCTAGTGGTGGTTCTTTATGCATTTCTATGCAGCTTCAGAGATCTAATTCCAAACTATTAATAAATGTTCCTGTAATTTTGCTTCGAAAACATACATGTTTCATTGTGAAAATAATACATGACTAAATTGTGGGTCTTTTAGCTTAGAAATCGCAATATGTTCTTCGCCATGGTTATGAAAGTGCTAAAGCTTTGTGTTCTAGGAATTAATTAAAAAAAAAAGACCACAAACTGCTCTCTGTCCATGTTTCTTCGGTCGCTCAGCCTATCGCGGTTACATCACGGCGATTCTCGTTTAACAATTTCGCAATCACGCTGAAACTCGCCAAAGACTCGACGCCGCAGTACGTCGTGACTGAAGCGAAACCTATTGTTGATTGTTGTAGGAACTGTTGAGGCGAGGGACACAAGCAGAGACATGGACAATGTGCAAATGATCGGCACTAAAATCACAGCGATCAAGGAATACTTATATGTAAGGCATCCACATTGCACATCATTCATTATGTCTGCTCATTTAGTGAGATCGACGTCGACAGTGTCTTTATCAAATACTGTTATTTAATTAACATAAGTATTGCCTCGGTACCATACTGATTATTTCCTTACATTGCACTTGAGCGGTCAGGTAAATTAGAGTTTACAACGGAATAATACATCTTGCGCATACTTTACATTTAGATTGAAACCGTAGCTTTCCATAGTATTAGCAGAAGTCGTATACCCAGGCGTTTATGTCCACGAGTGAATACATGTATATCGTTAGACACATCGGTCGACGCGCGTAGTATTGATGGAAACACTGTGATGACAAGATCTATCTCGCTGATTTCAATCGTAACTACAATTAGGGATTCTTAGGCTACTGTATTAATTTCTTGATTTGCAGCAAACGTTTGCCGATACTTATAATAATTAATATGGTTAGTCATATAAGCAGATTAAATTTAAGTTGGTTTGATTAATAAAAATTTTAGCTAAAAAGAACTTAACTTTTAATATTTGCGGGAAGTTAATCGAATCAAAATAAACAGCAAAACGCAAGTGCAAAAGTGTATCTTAAGAAGAGAGGTCCTCGTGATTTGGATTTCAGAACTTCGCACGAACGCACTCGCCTACCAGACTAATGAGCTCCGAAAATACTTATTCGCTCTCTAAAGAGCATTGCAACTTGAAGTACTCGGGTAAGTGACAATTGGGGAAGTTTTTAGTTAATGTTTATTAGAACACTGCATGAGTTTGGTACAAAGCTACAAAGATAAATATCAACTAACAAACGTGTGGTGCATGGAGTCGCTTTACTCATTCATGTTCTCGGCTATAATTCTAATAATAGAAATTCTACTTCAGCGCCATCCGGGCATTTAAAATTGGTATATGAAATTTAGAAAGTACATCGACATATTCGATATTACACAAGCGCAGGCTTGGCTTTTTGAGTGCAAAATCAAAGAGTCACAATATTGCTCTGATTTCGTGAGGCCTGTCGGACGGAAGGGTGCATAATAATAGAGGATTTAGAATTATTCCAAAGAGGTTGGTAGGTGCCGAGTGGCTGAGGACAGATTACACGCCGCAGGGAGACGGAAGGGTTTGTCATCCTCGTCGTTTGGGAAGTGTTAGCGGGCGATAACGACACGCGCGTGCCGCTCGTAGAACAGTGAATGTCTGAATGGATTCTTGTGCTTCAACGAGTGATTTTTATCTTGAACAACTAGTGACCGTAAATATCTCGCGCAAAACGAGAATTTCACTTGTGCACGTAAGTGAATTAAATTACGCCGTAACGCGAAATCTGCCGAATTACTATAAATTAAGGTTGTAAGCCGGCTTATAAATCGGCGTGACTAATTGCCACGTGTAAGAACCCTCAGAAGGCGCTTTGATTAAAGTCGAAACGCGAGGGTCCAGGCACATCTGGTACCAAATGACTGTGCACACGATGGATACGGCGGCTCCGAACTCTGCAATGATACACTAGAGAAACTAGGAGATGTCATTATATGAAAATTAGATTGGAATACGAGTAAAATAATTGTCGCATTTGAAACTGTTTATTAAAATATTTATGCGCGTGTTCTATTGTTATTAAAAAAAATACTAATTAGTAAGTAGAACAGATGCCAATTAGATCATATTTATAACGTAGCGAAATCTTGAGCGACTGCTACCGGCTTATTTGTATCTCGAAAAGTGCTATATAAACCTCGAGAAAAAGGCGGAGGTCTTCGGACATTAGATTGATGGAGCTGGATTAGTTGGATCCGACCGCTGGAAGCCGGGGATTTCCCTTGTCTAACCATAGGCTCAAGGCAATTCACCATAAGTTTTCGCGTGCGCCCTCTTTCCTTTAGTCGGCCTTTATTCAAGATTCTTATGACCATTGATAAAAGTATTCTTATCGAAAAACGAAACATTAAAAAAATTATCACTGGCTAAAAAAGCTATCCTAACATTTTTATTTTCAGCAAATATTTCAGCTCAAACATTGGCCCGAAGTCGGATTTATCTTTATTATATTTTAACGATTTAACAAAATTACATTTACATTGATTTACATTTGTATTAAGTTAGTGAAGCATAGTAGCGTTTCATAAAACTGGCAAAATTCGGATAATTCTTTTGCATGGTGTTATCAATGTGAGATCATTGAAAAAAGAGAATTGAAAATAATGCCGTAACGTTACATCTTCTTAAAAAAATCTCTCACCGCCGTCTTAAAATGCTAAATAATAATTTGAAAGCAAAGTCCCATAGTAGCTTGGCTGTTTATCCATGGGATCACCTTAATGCAATGGGAAACGAGGGGATGGTTTACTTCATGGGATATTTTATGGTTGCGCCACGATAGAAGGACAGTTCAATTTACCCAGGATTTACCACGAGCGCATTGAAATGTTCCACTGCAACGACTTTGTTCTGTCTTCATTGAATCTATGTACATGATTCAATGATCTACCTAGCATATTCGTATTATTAGAGAACATTGTAACATGTCTTTATCATACTTTGCTCGCAATTGCGATAACAGTTCTAATAGCACGTAAAATTTTATGCAAAAATTGTACATTTCGGTTATATTAATAGAAACTTTTATTATTTATTTACGAACTTAGTGAATTTAGTGTAAAGATAGTCTTTAGAGTTTTATTATGCATTTTATTACTAATTTCGAATATTAATTACGTGACGCTCAAGTTGAAAATGTTTATGGAATAATTGCATTTTGCATGACTTGTATAGATGCAATAAATTGCATGCTGTTATACCGATAGGTGGCTATATGTCAAGATGTAAAAAGGATTCGCTATGAACAGAAAAGAAGAGAAAGAAGAATATGCAGATGGTGTCATCCCACCAAACAAGTGAGAGTGTGTCAATATAGGTCTATACTTTCAATTGTTTGATGAGGTGAAATCATTCTAATCGTTATCTCCGAGGATACTATCAAAAATCATGATGGTAGGTCGAACAATGAAGACAGCCGAAAGGAATTTTGTCAATGCGATATTAAGCCGGGATCCCGTGGCGTGCGGTTCGTCACGGCTCGTGGCGTCAATATGCTTGTCGATAAGTTTGCCTGCCGAATTAGTAAGCAACGAATTGTAACAAGCCGCATAGGTTCCATGACGCGTCAGCTCGTTCTCTAGTCCGTTCCGTCGTTCTGTTTCTCTTCCGTCGCTCGATAGGTGGCTCGGCAAATCCTTGCGCTACCTATTTACTGGGACTCTCAACGGGAAGGACGGACCGCGAACCGCGAGTAATAGCAAGCTATCTCGGCCCCACGACGCGTGGCTCGGGGATGACTTGGTACAGTTCACCAAGGCTCACCGAGCCTCTACGTGACGTCGGGCGTCGTGGGATCCCGGCTTTAATCGCTACGGTAGAAGAGATTTCACTTGATTCCAACAATTAGAGAGTTATTGTTATTACATTACGCTGCACACGAATTATCTGATTTTATTTTCAAGAACTACAATGCAAGTCTGATAAAAATATATAATATAATTTGTTTCAGAAACATTGAAAAAATTCTCTATGTTGCCATTTAAATAAAATCTATGCACGATCATGTTGTAATGCTCATTTCTACATTGATAGTTGTCGTAAATAACTTAACTGTTATTTAACAGATAAACGAGAGCAAAGAGTACGCGTTTGCAACTTTTTATTTTGTTCATAGACATTCTGCCTCATAATGCAGAAGGTTATCCGGCGACTAGAGAGTTCCTGATGAAGGTGGTGGACATTCTGCTGGATTTCGTCAAGTCAACGAATGACAGAAGTGCGAAGATTCTTGAGTTTCACCATCCTGCCGATATGATGCGCCTGCTCGATCTAGAAATTCCCGATACTGGATTGACCCTTCAACAGCTCCTACTGGATTGTTCCACAACCTTGAAGTATCAAGTAAAAACCGGTAAGCATACGCAAACTTTGCTCATTTTTTTTATATACCTGTATTAGAATAAGTAATGAAAGGTTAACCGGACAATTTTTAATTACTTAATCATACACATTTTGTAGATAAGTAATATTGCAATAGTATAGTATATTATCTTAAAAATGACGTTATGAATAATACATATTTTTTAACTAATAGAAAATAAGCTAATAAAAATCAGATTATAGGTAAATATACGAATTATTTCTATTCCAATTTTGTGTTAAACTCTTAGGGCGAGTTTCACAAACGACGGTTAACTGCTAACCGAAGGTTAATTGATTCTCTGTCTCTTATTTAGACAATAAGATAGAAAGAGATAGGGAGTTGGCTGAACTCTGGTTAACAATTGACCGACGTTTGTGAAACTGGCCCTTAATAATAAATCAAAACGTAAAGTACTAGCGGGATGTATATACTCCAAAGAGAACACCCGTTACAATTGCCGAAAAATCTGATTATAATTAAATTTCGAAAAAGGAAGCAGTAAAATGGAAAGATAAATTTTTGAGAATCGAGAAATATCGAAAAAAATAAGCATTGTCGTATTACTTTGTAAACTCAAGTTATATTTTCGTCATATAATATAAAATACTTTGAACGGTGCGAATACTTGTATCATAAAGATGTTTCATCTTAAAACGTTCGCGAAACGTTTCAAAATCGATATATTCAACGATCGCTACTGAAGTGTTTTTTTTTCATTTTCTCCGCTTCCATAACATTCAAAATAATTTCTTTCTTATTTTATATATATTCAAAAAAGTTAAATATTCTGATTATTTAATTCAGCGTAATTTTAAATGTTTCAAAAATAACAGAGAATTGAGTATTTTTAAAGTAACTTTGTTTTGTGGAATATTTTTCCAATGAAAGTATTGCGTTAAATTGATTAAAGCTCGCGTCAGCATTAAACACGAGGTACGCGACCGTTGCTGAGATAATAGACAAAAAATCCTGAAAAAGTGCAAGCACCCCTACGAAGAGGAGCATTTTAACGCTACGTGCTATCGCACGTCCCTATCCCCTAGGGCGATAAGCCACATAATTTCATATTCAATTTAGCATACGCGCTCGCAGGGGTGAAGATAAGGTAGCGACAGACACCGGCAATGAAATCCGACGGCTATCGGCCAACCCTCGAAATAGACACATTGACGGCCGTGTTTGTAATAGGCACAGAAGCACACACGATAGATGTTTCGTGTCATATTTCATATCGTCGGAAACGATAAAATATTTTATTAAAAAAACTGTTTCGTATGTGATTTTCACACTTCTGCAAAAATTGTTTTAAAAAATGTTTCAGTACCTATGTGAAGTAAGATCTTTTCTTTTACATTTGATAATCAGTTGCCAACCAGATTTCACACAGAAACATTAATGAAATGTTGTAACAAATGTGATTATTTTTATTAAATGAGACAACAAATGTTATTAACAAAGTTTTTACTGTATACTTAAGTATTTTTGCACATATTATTTGTCTGTTTCTGAGAACACATCGAATTCTCTTCAACTCTTCCTGTTTAAGTTGTTAATTTCGCAAGTTTCTTACAAATTCCACAAAATAACAAGTCAAATTCCTTCGAGTGCTTTAAATGTACGTTTCAACGAGACGTGAAGAGCAAAATAAATACGTTCATTATACACGAGAGTTTCAGTTTGTGGAAATTTTGTATTAATAACATCGACCTATCGAAGTGTCTGAATATCAATATAGAGGCTCGATGAAATACCAAAAGTCAACCGCAAATCTCCCACGGCGTGCGAAAGTTCGCTATCTCAGTGGGATTCGATTACCAGCTTGAATGGATGGTAATGCACAATGGAGCAGACCTAACTAAACTTAGGCCAGGAATCCCGTTTGTCTGCAGTCCATGTAAAAGGAAGCAGGGCCGCGCGATCATCCCCTCCCCCCCCCCCCGATATCGAAGGGCGCGTGCACGATACGTGCTGACAAAAACTCGTTATTAGATTATATGCCGCAAGATTCGGGAACCCTTCGCATATTGGGTTTGAGGAAGGAGGGGACATCTACGCTTGGCTACAGAAGGAACCGTCCTATCCATGAAGAATGTCAGCCGATGCGTATCGATACAAACGTCGTTTTTTTAGGAGAGATTTATCAGAAATACGTTGAAAGTGACGACAACGGTAACGAGAACGATAATCGCGAAACGAAGTTAATAGACATCGACAATAGAATGACTGATAAAACAATGCAATCTAGACTTTCCAATCAACATATTAAGCATAAAAATGTACTAGCGACGACGATAACAGTTCCCAATAATATTTCGAAATAAAAAAATGATACGGAGAGGTAGAAGCTTGTCAAAATTGATTTAAACAATTGAAATGTCAAATTATATTTAATTCTTTCCTCATTAAGGATATTGTTTATAAATTACACGATCACGTACGGACATGATGACAGAATATCGTTAATCGATGGGTATTTGCTCATAATAGGATTAGATTGAGTGACGTTTCTCTGACGATAATCGCATCTGTGCAAACATATTGAAATCGCATATCCGACGTTAAAGCGTCGCAACTCCGTTCCGCGACTTATGCTCCATTTATTACGACTCGCAAAACTTGTATAAGCACGAGAATTCTGTGACATATCGAAATTCCAGCAGTTTGAAAAGAAGCTGACGAGTCATGTGGTTGAATGTAACTCTTTCCAGGTCATATAACCATATATGTGCGCCGAATGTTGTCCGCAGGATGTTTCACGTAATCTATTTCTATCACCTGGTACTTTTATTATTGCATAACTGAGGATATTGTGTGCGGATTGCATGAGCTTTTCTCTATTCACAGATTACAATTGTCCGTGTAGTGAAACAAATATAAAATCATACTCAATAACAAGTGACGCAGGAAATGCGGGAAATAACTTAATAGATAGAATTTTCTTCACGACTATACAATTTAAAAGCCATGTTTCAAATCCGCATTATGGCTACCGTATGAAAACACTGTGGCGTTATTGCTTGCATAAGTTTGCGCGTGGCGCTGTTGCACAGGATGGCGAATTTCAATAGGATTGGTGTAATTAAGAGCCATTTCTACACGATTTTTTCTTAGTAGGGTAGAGGGGAAACAGTAAATAGGGGGCGAAACCCAGCTGCAGAGGGTGGTTTGCGCGATATAGGGGTAGCGGTATTTCGCGAAGCTCTGGCGCGGCAGCATCACGCGGAGGAATTTAAATTGATATCGATAGTTCGTCGTGGAATGCGCAAATCGGTTCGTCACGGAATGCGAAAAACGCCGTATCATGGAAGGTATTCAGACGATGATAGTTTTCCGTCGAAAAAGATCAAACGTACCCGACATTTAAAGTACGTAACGCATTTGTCTGCCCGGCAAGGTGAAAGGGCATTGAACTTCTATATTCCATCCCCCGCAAATTATCCGATAAATTGTCGAAGAAGAAATTTTAATAAGATATATCGTTGTATAATTTTCTAAGTAAGATATATTTCTCAAAACGTAAACTAACCGAATGGCTTTTTGTAGCAGTAACATTTATACGCTCTAGAGGTGAAATGAATGTTCTAATTTCTCATAATACAATGAACAGAGTGATGTAAAAGTGGCACATTATGACTCAATATTTTGCAAAATGCTTTATAGACGTAATATAACAGCAATGCCAGGCACAATGTTACCTTCCTTATGAGCGGTATGATTGATCGCGCAGCATTAATGTTAAGCCCGAGTTACACACTTCGCTCCATACAAATCCCGAGCCCTATAATATATCACCGCAGTCTGCTCGGAACAGGTTCTCCTTGCGTTCTGTCTTTTTCCCCGACTACGCGAGGGCAGGAGCAAATTAGTCGGAAAATGATTCCCTGGATAGCATAATCGCTATACGAAGAATCGGCCGCGGTTGAGACAAATCGTTCATTGTATTGCAACTGAAAATCGAAATTCTAGGTACACGGTTAAGTTTACAAGTTCAATTAAGTTGCAAACACATTGCAAGAAGAAAAATAGGAAAATAGTCTCTTCGAATCTGTATCGTTGATCAGCTTATTTCATTTAAGCTCAATTCACGAGATTACATTGATCTTTGTTTGATATTTGTATACGTAAAAAATAATACACGGTATATAAATTACGAGTAAGAAACGGAGACACATCAGTCAATAACATGAGACGAGAGTGGTTAATTTAATGTAGACTCCGCAAGAGGATTCCAAGACTGTTCGCGCGTACCCGAATTCGCGACACAAATCTGCGTAACGCAAAGCGGCTTATCTTGCACCAGTTGGTCGCACGTGTTTGTTTTTCCTGAACGGTGTACGCGTGCAGCGTTTGAGAGCCTCTGCAAACAATCTAGTCGAGCAGCGACGCGTGTGACGCGCAAAATGCGGGCGCTTCGGACCATCGAATCCCGCTCCACCCTTGATCAGGGCGCGATTCTGTCGCTCCTGCTAGACGGGAAGAAGAGAGAACATCGTCTTCTCGCAGACCCCTCGACCGGACGCGTGCCACGAGCCACGGACCGAGATAATTGCGAATAACAGTACGACAAACGGCTCAAATACCACCATCTGATATCGTGTCTAAGGCGATTTTCGTGTCGGACCGTTGATATTTGTTTCCATTGGTGATGGTCTACGTAGCCATTTACAAAGATTATTGAAGTAGTCGAGAGAGACGTCTTTCAAGATAGCTGGGAAAGTAAAAACCTCCCTCAGACAGTTGCAATCAATAGAAATTTGCAGGTCAGGTGGAATATAAACTATGGGTATTACAGACGCTATAAAGAATTTGTAGCAGATTATAAATCGCATTTGATAAGTAAAGGAATATCGCTTCTTTTGGTCGTTTGCTCCGATTTTACAGTCGCGATAATAAAAATCTTTTTTAAAGAATATCCGCCATCGTTTTACGCATAATCGTTTTCCATTAATGGAATCCCTTTAATGGAAATACGTGGTCCGCGTGAAGAGAATCCTCCGAGGAGAATCGGGGATTATCCTTCTAGACCTTTAACGTCGGTTCGACTTTACCACGCGTCGAATCCCAGGCTGTTGTCGTCGGTGAAGGGGAATGTCCGTAGTCCGCGACGTCATGTGTCAATCATTACGGAAAACGAAAAGATTAAAGTGTCTACGTACCAACGAATAGAGAAATAGCGCGCGCTTAATTGGCCCATAAACTCGAAATAATATTCTTGATGTAAAACATTTCTGTCTGTTAGGCAGAGGTTCTGTCTAATTCAACATCTAAAATAAATTTTATGTGTCAGATTCTTGATAGGAATTTGAGATATTTAAGCTTCTTTTTATTTTTGGTGCGATGCTCTTGATACATCGGCGTCCGTGCGCTGTGCGGTAAAGCATAAGATAATCGATCACACAAAGGCCAAAGTCTTTTCGATACCGGATATTCAACGGAAGTAAATCCATCATATTTCAAGGATCAAGGGATTCGCGCTATCTCAAAGAAAGATGATAGTGCTCGTAGGGTTCTTTTGTACAATGTCTGTAGGTTTCATTGATTGTTTCCGGACGAGACGTGGGAGAAAACACTCGCGAGGAATATTTTTTTCAAATTTTGACCAGTTGTCTTCTCCGTTACAACTTGCGGCTTTCCCGCAATTTCTCTTCTTTTCTGGATATTCTTTACTAGTGGGTCTAAACTAAATGAGTTTAACGCGGAACGCAAATAGCGGATTAGAAGGCCGAAATGCCCAGGCACTTATGGGAGGGAGGAAATGCAGAAAGAGAGAGAAAATTAAGTACTCGCTCCCCTAGTTGCATCAGAAGGCCGGGCTCCCATCGAATAGAAGCATTAGGCCTGATCCTCGCGCGATGTTCAGCCGAGCGGATGACAACGTACTCGGGAAGAGCTTAAATCTCTCTCTCTTGCCGCCTTTCCTCCCGCGTACCTTTAACTTACGCGACAGTACAAGGTCGCGTGTAAATGTATTAATACTCGGACACGTGCACGTCAACGTTATTAATTACTTTGCTGTTAAGAGCCGCTTGTCAACGATCACTCCAGCCACTACCGGCGGAATGATTTATATCGGGCAATTCGTAGTAATTAATTTTTCGTCACCTTTACAGAATTTTCGACAAGGATACGCACTTTGGCGCGATTTCAATCGTATTGCATGAAATCATACCGTGATTTTTCTCTGAGGAAATTCTCCCCTCTTGATTTTAGGACATCCACGTTTCTTCAATCAGCTATCATGCGGTCTCGATTTAGTGTCCATGGCTGGCGAGTGGCTAACTGCGACGGCCAACACGAACATGTTTACCTACGAGATCGCTCCCGTATTCATTCTAATGGAGCATGTCGTTCTACAAAAAATGCGCGAGCTTATAGGCTGGAACTGCGGCGACTCCATTCTCGCACCAGGAGGATCTATTAGCAACCTTTACGCCTTCCTTGCGGCCAGGCACAAGATGTTCCCGTACTATAAAGAAAAGGGACTCTCTGCTATCGGAGGACAGCTGGTTATGTTTACGTCCGATCAGGTTTGTCTTAGAGTTTAAACGCTTGATGAAACTGTTAACTATTTTTATACGTTATTTTTAAAACTTTTAGTTCAACAAACTTAGCTTTTAAAAGTTAATAGAGAGAAAATTGCAGAAGAACCGAGTAGTCACAACAGAATCATAATACATCATGTAAGAAACATTAAGCGATAATACTCCAATGTTGTGAAGGCTCTCAAAAAGAAATTGTATGGAACGGGGAAAAGTGCCAATGCGAGCCAACAAATGAACGGAAGACGGTTCTCACAAATTTATAAATACTTTCTCTCTTTAATATAAACGTGTCGACCCTGTTTCGGGTCTTCCTCAGTATAACTCGTTAAATATATAGCCATTAAAGTATTAAACACGACTGTCGTGTTAAGTCCATTACAACGAAGTCATCTCAGTCGACGTGTCTCCAGTTCTCTTTATGTCCGGGAACATTTAGAGAAGAAGCATGAGACCATGATAGAAAAAGAGATTCTCAAACCATATATTTAACGAGTTATACTGAGGAAGACCCGAAACAGGGTCGAAACGTTTATATTAAAGAGAGAAAGTATTTATAAATTTGTGAGAACCGTCTTCCGTTCATTTGTTGGCTCGCATTGGCACTTTTCCCCGTTCCATACAATTAAGCGATAAGTTTTCAAATATAAAAAAATTCACACCAGAGCATAATTGAAACTGCATAAATTTCACACAGTTGATTAAAGTTTCGTGCACCCTCATAAGAGGCAATTGATTAGGTTGTTCATCATTGGTGTGGATTATTAATGTCTACAGTGCCATTATTCTGTGAAATCATGCGCGTCCGTTTGTGGCCTCGGTACGGATAATTGCGTGATGGTGCCTAGCGACGAGCGCGGTCGCATTATTCCATCGAAACTGGAGGAATTAATCCTGGAGCGCAAGGCCAAAGGTCACATACCGTTCTTCGTGAATGCCACTGCGGGAACAACGGTTATTGGTGCATTCGATCCGATTCCGGAAATGGCTGATATCTGTCAAAAATACAATCTATGGCTGCACGTCGACGTGAGTAATGCTCCTCGAAGAACACAATAAAACATACATATACATTATTATTTAAGTGCGTCTGTATTCAAACGTAGATCAAATACATAAATTCAAATAACGTTCGTTTGAGCACACTTTAACGTCTACGCAACATGAAGTGAAACAATATTCCCAGGCAAATAAATTCTTCTAGATATTGACCGGAAATATGAAAAGATATATATTAATTATAGATTAATTTCACGTATTATACAGTTGTACCGATTCAATAATAACTGTATAAAGTAAAAAGACTGTAATAAATATCTAATATATGTATAAATAAAAGAGAGAAGACATTCAGTTGATCAAATATAGCTTTGAGCGCCCATTTAAGCAATAACGTTTCACATTAGATGCGCTTATGCAATCAAGCCCATCCAAACACGACTTAAGCTGTAAATGCCAAATGCGTAAGAACCTTAACGTAAATAATAAATGTGGGAAGCGGCAGAGGTTTCGCCAATACTACATTTGCGAGTGAACAGCAAGGGGAATTCGAAAACACCGGATCTATAAGTCAGATTAAGTAATAATACTTAAAGAAATCCCATACATTGTGATCGCACATCTCTCGTGTCGATTTCTTGCATTCCGTCATCGAGTATTCGAGAGACAATCCATTGAGTAATCATTCATCTCTGTTACAGGCGGCTTGGGGTGGTGGACTGCTTCTGTCGAGAAAGTATAGGCATCCGAGACTGACCGGCATCGAACGGTGAGTGTTAAATCATATGCTAAAATTTATTTTGATTTATATATCTCAAGCAGTTGAGTCATGATAAGAAAAGAAGATGTCAATTGGTCAATAATTTCTCAATTAAACTATTTCATAGTTTGTCGGCATATTTTAAAATCAAATACTGTTATTCTTTTATTTTTTTTCATACTTTACACGTCTATTGCATTATTTGAAATTCTGTTTACTTTCGCATACGTCCAGAGTAAGGGAGGTCCAATCCACGCATTTTATACAGTTTATTGGGGCTTAGTTGGGCTTAGTTATAATGGACTTCTTTGAAAAACGCCTCTAACCCGATGTACATTGCATATGTGGGATAAAATCGATACGTTCCTTTAGAGGTAGTTGTGATTCGAACGTCAGGCGCTGCAAATGATTTTACATGAGAATAGTCGAAGGCAGTCAGCCTATAATGTATTGCTCGCATAAACCGCGATTAGGATGCAACGAGGGGGCTGGCGCTCAGATTGCCCTAGAATTTCTTGCATTGAAAATAACGTTATCATATCAGAAAATTCAAAGTGATGCAAATTGTTATAATATATATTTTCTATTATAAATAAAAATGTGTTTCGTAGAAATTTAGATTTATCGTTAATTATGTTAAAAGAGAGTGGAAAAGAGAGTGCGAAGGTTGGATTTTTTAACGGACGACACCAAACACAAATTATACCTACAAGAAATCCGCGGGGAAAATACGCAATTTCTGATTCACGTTGTATATTTTCGTGGACGCGAATTCAACGGAACCCTCGAGCTGCGATAGGGGTCAGGGGTACGGACGAGACATGCATGGGGTTGGCGAGATTAATCCACGATTTGCATCCAGGCGCATCTGCTCCCTAGACTCAGACAATCCCTGACCTGAAAATCGGTGCGAGAAGTCTCTCGGGAATGATTTATGTACAAAGAGAAATGGTAAACCAACTCTCAGAGTGTACCATCAGTATTTTTCAAGGATATTGATGAAACAATGTATCTTATACGTATTAAGGTATAATATCATTATGGGGATAATGTTTCTTAAATTGGTAAATTCATACAACACGCAATAGATTACAATGAATTATAATAGATAATTTATGTGATTAAGAAACTGGCTTTTATATATATTTTATAAAACTTTCCAACGTGTATTTTCAACGTAACTGCCAAATATCTACTTAGAGATTATCACAATTACGAATTACATTTTTTCATTATGCCGGTCGCAAATGCACGTCCGCGATTTTTCTGCGTGGACTGTACTGCGACGGGAACTTCCTTCCTGGAAGTCTTGATTAAAATGGCAAACGAAAGGCGCGCATAGAAAGATCCGACGCATGAGCAACAGCTGGATCAGTTCCCTGGAGCACATTTGCAGAACAGAATTCTCCTCTTATATCGACGCGCTGCGGCGCCGTGCCATCACCGTGTCTTCCTCTGGAAGCCTGAAATAAAAGCCTGTGCCTTGACAATGCCGGATTAAACTCGTACAAAGAGAACTGCCTCCCTCATTCTCCGGTCGATCCTCTCTTCTCCTCTTCTGTTCCCTTCGCATCCGCGTCCCAGATTGTTCTAGAATTGAGAAAGAACCGTGATTTTACCTTCACGGTAAAGTTGAAATGATCGGACTTAAAAAGACGGCCCGGGGAGAGCTGCGGGTGAACGTGAAGTTCAAAGTTCAAAGTGTACGTTTCAAGCCATTTGTTAAGAATAGAAATCGGACCTGCTCAACTTTCTTCAAGTCAGTTCCAAGTTCTTAATTACAAGTTCCTAGTTTCTCATTAATCTCTTGAGGAAATCTAATTATTATTTAATCCTCATCATTACAGAAATATCTTGTGACTCTTTCTACCTTCCAAAGAAAATGTCTGACTTATGGCTTCATATAAGACTCAGCTTTGCTTTCGAATTACGAGAATATACTGTGTGCTGGCAGGGATTAACTTCTGTTAACATTTTCCTTTGATCGTTACTGAGTCGGAAACGTAATTCTCGCGCTACCGAACATAGAACTCTCTTCCACACATAGCGTACGCACATTACGCTAAGGGTGCGGGTAATTAACATCCCTTGTAATATATATCGAGCGGCTTTTGGGGTTGGCACCTTGGACGAATTTAAAAGCGAATAGTAGGGTGCCGTGTGCGCCAGCTTCAGCTGCGAATCGCATTAATCACTCGAGCTTTATACACACTTCTCAAGTACAGTATGTCTTATGCGAAGAAAAAACTTTGTATCCGACATTTCTTTTCTATTAAATTGATACTCGTAAGTTTATTGCAAAAAGTTTACAGCAATTTTTACGTAATAATGCAACGTAAGTTGCTATTTCAATTTTTATTTATTAGTAAATTTTAACTGTAAATAATGACAAGTTCTAAAATAGTTTTAGAGACTTGTGTAATTATTTTTTTATACAGGTTAATGTTGTACTTGTAAAAATCTGTAAAATTTAATGCATCAACGTTTATTCAAATTTAAAATAAAGAATGTTTTATAATATACAGTTTGCTCAGCAAATTACATATTCAGGAAAACATAAATAATTCTTAAAATCTTATTAAATAATTCTTAAAATTTAATGCATCAACATTTATACAAATTTAAAATAAAGAATCTTTTATGATATACGAATACAGTTTGCTCGGCAAATTACAGGTTCAGAAAAATAGAAATAATTATAAATTTGCTATAGAAAGTATAAGTGTTGGTCTACAACCTTGCTTTAAGTAAGCTGTAAGCTTAATTTCTTATGACTTAAGGCTTACAGCTTACTTAAAGCAACGTTGTAGACCAACACTTCCGAAGAATACAGACAATAAGAATACAGACATAAATAACAAACGAATGTTAGCGTAAACTATATAAGAGAAAATATATATTACACATGATCGAATTCTATTTGTTAGAATTAAACAAATAGACGCGTGTCGATCTGTAACATGAAGAAGGATGCGCACGAGTGAATAATGGACAGTGTCTGCTAACGACACGAATCGCGCTTCAAGGGTGCTTCAAGAGTACCCTCGTATCATCCACAGGATGTTCAGCCAACGCGCGGGATCGGCGTCGCGATAAACATGTCACTTGCCAAGTATCAAATTTATCATAAAGCACGCGGCTGATGTACTTAAAGCTAAGTTTTACAAAAAATGACGTGTACTATTTTCAATTCTTTATAAATCCTTTAATCTTATCTGTGCCGAGGGAATACTTGTAATAGATACTGTGATATTTGTCACAACATCTTGTTTTACTATATTTTATTAGATTTGCTCCTTTTTTTGCTCTAATAGTTTTGCGCGCCACTAACCGCTAAAATATCTAAAACAAAGCACAAATTTGGGTCGAGGAATGTGAATGCGGATTCTCACATATCACAATGCTTTTTCAAGGATTAAGAAGGGTTAGAGGTTTTTACCGCCGGAGTGGGTCTCCGAGGACCAGGGGGTTAAATCCGGTCGTGTGGCTATATTAATAGCTCTTCTCTCGAATTGATAGACCCCCTTCCGTGAGCACGGCGGGAAGATAACTCATATTTTATCCCCTATTGGTTCCCGTGGGAGTGGATAAGAGTTTGACGACCAGCTGAGGTCGGCTGGCTTTTTCAGTCAGCTCGGCGAAGGCTCGCTTCGACAGGTTGCTGATAAGGCAAAGGAAGAATGATTTTCTACACTATTCATAAAATGTACGGCTTATTTGATATACTTTGCTATCACAGAGACCTTTCCTATTAATGCGATAAAATTGAAGTAAGTTCTTCGTAGCATAGAATTAAACTTGCTATATTTACAACCAATCTGATAGTACTTCTGATTCGAGAGACGAATAAAAACACTGTTTAATGTTTACCGCGTAAATTTCGTAATCTCTCCGAAAGAATAAAAAATTATCTATCGACGAAAAGTTTTGTAAGTTTCCAACAATGTGTATCTGATTTTTCAGGGCTGATTCAGTGACATGGAACCCACATAAACTTATGGGAGCCTTGCTTCAATGTTCATCTATTCACTTTAAGGAAGATGTAAGTTAGATATTATTAATTACAGATAGTATTTTCACCAATACAAAAAAATCTTGAATTATGAAAGTAATTATTATCAACGACAATTCAAAAAGGAAATGTTACACCAGGAAATATTATCACTAGTGTCCCCTTATTCGGAAAAGTCTATATTTATTTCCGAGTTTTATTATTTTACTCAACTTTTTCTTCTAATGTTTTATTCTGACACGATCTTAACACGTGGAGAAGTGAGTCTTTAAATAAAAAAAATAAATAAAAGGCATCCCCACGAATAAATATCGACGTTGCACCCGCGACACGTTCAAGACGTTGCACTTTTAGAAATCCACCCGGTTTCCAAGCGTACTGAAATTCCTGCATCGCGCAAGGGCAACGAGACAACACTAGTCGCATTCCGAGGGGTAGACCTACGTGCCGGGGTGCTCGGCACTACAGGAATTTAATTAAACTAAGAGATAACATATGTTGCCGTCCGTCTACGGCGCGCCGCCGGGGAGGGTCTATCCCCCCACGCGACTCAGTTATTGCTAACTCCGAACTTCCCCTTCGGATATTAAAATTCCGTGCACCGGCTGCCGCGAGATATCCGGGGGAGAGAGCGCGCGCCGTGCTTTTGTCGGGCCGCGATGCCGTTGACGTTGAAGCGCGGTGTCCAAGGGATGTGCTCCGTTAACAATCATGTTGTTTTAATACAGATTTACAAGGCGGGCATGTAAAAGTATTCATTTTTTACTGCCTATGCCTACAATAATTAAATATACTCACTTTCTATGTCAGGCATTAACGTTAAAAGGCAGCGATGACAACCAAATGCACAGACATGAAACTAAAAAATCTCTTCTCTAGCTTGAAAATAGAAAAACGTTCGTCAGTTATGTACATGAACATTGCGTGGCATTCTCCACGTAACAGTAGGACATTTACAGATACATTTACAAATAGTGATCCTCGGAGGAAAGCGACTAAACAGTAATCTCGTCTGAAACAATGGTAGCCAATAATGGAGTGCAACATTGGTGCGGCATATCCGCCATTTTGTAAATTCAATATCCTGAGTTCTCCTCCTCGCGCGCATGTGTTGAAGCGTCGTATCGACCCAGACGGACTCGCCCTCTTCCTCCTCCGGCGGCCTGTCAATCGTGAACCGCGCGAAAACAATTCCGGAAACGCTTTGTTGTCGGAAAAATGTTGTAGACACCCGTCTCTCGTACGTTTTGAAAGCGAGAGCTGTTTCCATTTTGCAGGGGCTACTGATCAGCTGTAACCAAATGTCCGCGGAATACCTGTTTATGACGGACAAGCTGTACGACGTGAGGTACGACACGGGCGATAAGGTCATTCAATGCGGGCGTCACAACGACATTTTCAAGCTTTGGCTGCAATGGCGCGCCAAGGTACAAAATCCATTATCCGTCATATTGTCACAGAAAGCTGATTTTATGCTTTCTCATTATACGTCGGCGCGGCATTCTCTTCGGTAGCACATAGGCTGTACCACCACAAAGACTTAAAACCGAGGGATGAATCCGTTATTTTATTATTAGGGAACGGAGGGTTTCGAGAGGCACATGGACCGGCTGATGGAGCTGACGGAGTACATGGTTAGGAGGATTAAACAAATGCCCGACAAGTATTACCTGATTCTCGAGCCTGAATTGGTCAACGTCTGTTTCTGGTATCTGCCCACGCGCGTGCGAAACATGCCACATACCGCGGAGAGAATGAAAATCTTAGGCGAGGTGCGTCTGGTGAATTTAACGAAGTACAAACGACTATTAATAAAGTCTCCATTAATATTATAAGGAAGCTCCGGAAATCTCTCTCGGCAAAGTTTTAGAATAAGAGAGAACCGTTTGTGCTTTTAGATATGTCCAATTCTGAAAGGTCGCATGATGCAAGCCGGCACGCTGATGGTTGGTTACCAGCCGGACGATCGACGGCCCAACTTCTTCAGGAATATCATCTCCAGTGCCGCTGTATCGGAGGCCGACGTCGATTTTCTCCTGGCTGAGATGGATCGATTGGGCCATGACTTGTAAGAAATCTGTCCACACATAGGCATTAATCGTACGATGTGCAGCGATTAGCCGACTGGTACACACATTGGCGAAACCGTGATTTATCCGAATGCATTTTCGACGGTACGTTAAACAAAAATTATAAATTCGAGGCTCAGGTCACTAAATTCGGAACCATCAATACGAACGTAAGACATACGATGAAATTAGACAGTTTTAATGTTACGATAGAAGAGAACACACGAATATCGAGTATATCTTCGGGTATATTTTATCATTTCCTCTCATTTTTCCGTCAAAATAACGTCACGTTTTACTAACGTTAATTATTTTTTATATTTTGCTATAGTATAATTTTATGAACTTGTTTTACATATTGTACAATATAAAAGCGATGAATTTCTAATTAATTTAGTATTTATATTTTCTTTAGATTGAGCAAAGAAAACATTTCTTACGGTATTCTTTGGACTATTACACATTCGCCCGTAAACATTCATTCGTCGTTCTATAACATGTTTTAATAAAATCTGGATTAATTGATATGCATATTATAGTTTATTAGTACAAATGTTTTTAATTTGACACTTATCATTGAACGGACAAAGCGATGATATTAGTAAGGGGTCGATGTGTAGTTGAAACGCTTCTTTATCTTGCGACCAGTTTGCAGCAGCTACCTGCACGTCGAAAAATGTATGTAGTATATAAGTTCTCTAGATTTAATGAAACACACGGCATATCCAAGAAAACGAAGTTATAAATGAAGTTACAAAGTTAATGATGCTTCCGGCCGTAAGCTATGCAGATTTGTTATTTTTTGCTGCTCGATGCACGCACGATAATATTTACGCAAGTGATAAAATTACTCATTAATCGAAGCAATAATAGTGTACACCCGCTTTCCAAATGAAACATCTGAATGGAATTTTTCATCTTGAAACGCGGTTTAGGATGCCATTGTTCAAAATTTATATTCAAAACTTATTTTCAATGTATATTCTATTTTAGCGAATGACATATCAAATTGGTGTTGAATGATTTAGGTATGAAGTTACATATGATTCTCTAAATTTATAAAAGAATGTTTTCTTCTTGCAGATATTTTATATTCATAAGCACGTTAAATTAAATATATTTAATTTGTTAACTATTTTTGTACAGTTTTTATTTGAAAATTCTATGGATCAGTTACTGTGTCTTACGCTCTTATTAATCATCTTCTGCATTAATGGTTAGATATTTCAAACATCTCTGAGATCCTTAATAGGTTTTAATCATTTAAATATAGTTATATAGTTAGCATTGTTTGACAAGTTTGTTAAAAATTAAGCGAAATTAATTGTGCAAAAATGAATTCCCACGCGTTCAAGTTATATAGTTAACATTGTTTGACATATTTGTTGAAAATTAATTGTGCAAAACTGAATTCCCATGCATTCAAGTAAAAATATTTATTGTAATTTAATGAGACTTTGCAGTTTGTCCATAATACACTGGAGTGAAAGCAATCCTGTTTTCGGACAGTGTAAAAATCCATTTAGAATGTAAACTGTAAGAGCTATGGCTAATGTCGGAGCTTAAGTGTTGCTCTGTCCCCATTGTACGATTTGCAACGAATCGTCAGCCAATAACTACGGAATAGAAAAACTTCTATCGCCGTAGGATTAGGGATAGATAACACAAATACGACACTACTTTCCATAGAACATAGATTTAACACCGAACGTTATTCTGTTGGGATATTAACGGAGTTTATAATTTATCAATTGTTTGCGAAGATAACGTTACGAGATGGACTTCGTCTATTATATACAAAAAAATATATATGTATTATAATTTACTGTTAAACAGTTCTAAAGGAGAGTATTAATATATATTTAATATAGATATATATATAAAAGTATAAATATATAAATATATCAAAGCATTATATATATTTAGTGTTGAAATTTTAAGAATACAAAACACAAACCCATGAAAGTACATGCTTTTTCGAATATTCATGCGAACGGTTGCCACTTTCAATTAGTTTGTCGATTCTGTTAGAAAACTATCGACCATTTCATTGAAACGCCATAAACACACTATTGAAAGTAATGATTGCACGTCACAAGGAATTGTGTGATGCAACAATCATTTTCAATATTCTAGATCTCATATATAATTTCCTGTTATTTATTACATATTAATTATAACTCATTTCTTATACGTTTGTGACGATTATTTTATATTATACAAATAATTGCGTAATATGTGCATTACAAACACAGTGAACTTATTATTAGGAATGACGACAAACGTTTCGATCTGTTTGACACTTGCAATAGAACAATTCTATAGATTTCGATTTACTCGTTAATATGGACTAACAGAAAAAAAAGGTATTTAAAGTAAGTAACATGAAATATCTAGATGTAATTATACAAGAATTATAAGTGTATTTATGTACACATGCATCTTTGAATTGTACCGCGTTTTCTTTTCTGCTGACGACTGCCGTGCCGTCGTGACAATTAGCTTAAGTTTAAACGAATATATTTAGATGGGGAACCGCAATTAGTGCCGGAATTAAACTAACACAGGATTAATCGAAGTAGAAAGTAATCGATATATCCTGATACCTGTAATTTTATGCCAAAGATGTTAATTCAACGTATTTAAATGAAAGCTCTTGGCTGATGGATTATAGCGGGTGATGTCAATTCAATTTGAAACGTTTGTAATGTGTAAAATATGAAGCGCATTATATATGCTGAACTCTGCCTCAACGAGAAAAATAATGGCAAAATTTATTAAAAGGAAAGTAATTCAATAATCTATGTTCACAGTTTTAGATAAAATATTCTTACATAAAAAAATCATTAATCAGAATTGAAATTAATTTGAAATAAAGACATAAACATTATGAACATTTCTGTAAGTTAATAAATTTATTATTGCGTATAAAAATTTCATAAAACAGTTTTTAAAGGAGTTACAGTTAATATTGCGAATTTGAGATACTGTTTACGAGATTAGATTGCACTTGTATTTTGATCCAGAGTTCAAGCAACTCATTTGCAATCACTATGCGCCAAAGAAGGGACAAAATGTATTTTTCGAGAAAGTGAATTAAACTATTCATCTGACCAGCAAACCGATACCTGCAAAGAAGAACTCTATCGAATCATTGTTAATTATTATTCATAATTCTATCAGCGTTGAGAGTTTTTTTAGACATAGTCGTTGGCGCTGCCGACATAGTAATCAATGCTACTCATAAACGAATCTCTCTCGTGATTACAAATGTCTTTACACACGTCTCTCTATTAATTCCTGTGTAAATGATCGTTTTTTAAGCGAAGAGTGATATATTTGTACGGAAAGTATACTCGTCCCTGTAGACTTCCGATCATTTAAGTTGCTCATATAATTAGCCGATATATTAACACGATTAGTACAGCGTATTTTCCTTCAATTCCATCCTTCGGGATGTGTAAAACATCTTTACACGGCCGATGTAATGGATATTAGTAATAGCATTAATATAGTAGAGTATTAAAGTATCGATTTATTAGATGAATTATACAACTTGTACAATTACAATTTAGAATTGCAAGTGTTGTAATCATTTTTTTGTAGATAATCAATGAAGCGTATTATAAAGTTTGTATTAAAAAATGCCATTTTAAAGCGTGCGAATATTTTGCATTGTTGGCGCGATATAAAAGTTTAAATATAAACTTCTTTTAAAGTAAATGATATTTAATGTTCTTATATAATATTATGCACATAACACATTATGCAATTTATTTAAACGTAATGAATATTTTAAAAATGCACCGCACAACTTACAATTTTGCATAATGCACTCTTAGCATGTGCCATTTCCTGCACTCTGCTTATACATTGCTTTGCAGTATGTATATTGTTTTGCACGTATTGGATCTTAATCATCGTATTACGTTTAATAGGGCCAATAGTACTTGTCTGTTCCGCCTATCTTCGATAGTCTACATCGACGAGAAATACGTATGTATACAATCGAATAATCTTTTATGTCGATTGTGTTATTGAGGTAGAATATCACGTCATTCTGATAAACATTATTAATATAACTAAGTTCCTCCACTGGCGATTTATCGCGCCGACTTTAGAACTCGTCGATCTCATTAATTATTAGTCTAATTATTAGTCTAAGTTGGTAACGAGGTAAAGCAACAACAAAGTCCCATGTCTTCCAAACGATGAGAGTATCGATTAGTGTTTAGCGAGGAAACCTCGAAATACCTTCGAGGAGAGAAAGCTGTCCTTGTATACTGTAATGCAAAATACATTTATATATATACATATACATAGAAAAAATATATATGTACATGCGTGTGCGTAAGATGTCGTTGATATGTGAACGAGAAGCGAAAGTCAAGAGTATGTGCGGCGATGTAAAGATGTTTGCTGGCACATAACTATGTTGTTCGAATACCGCCTGCACCTAATTGCCCTTATTATCCACTGTATATCAATGTCTAATAAACTGCTGTTATCCCAAATTATCGATAACTCGTAACTTGTAGAAAAATCTTTCGCTTCTACTTTCTTCTTTTTTAATTAATTTATAATTAATGTATTTTCTTTCTAAAAAAGAGATGTTACCGGCGTGAGTGTCGTTAATATCGAACAGTTGAGGTTTCCTTTCCGCGATGCCGATTTTCCCGAGGTAGTGTGCTTCACTTCTCTTTTAGATTCATGTCATGCTTCACCTCGCATATGAATTTTGCAAGTTTCTGAAAAAATATACTTAAAGATTAGAGAATAAAAAAAAAGTTAAAGAAGAAGTTAGTTAAATATTTAATTGAGTAAAGGAGAATGAAAGACTATCCTCAGTGTATAAATAGAAAAGAAAAAGAGTAAAAGAAAATAATTTAAATGTAAAAGTCAATGGTTAAAATTCGCTCGCAACGCAATACATAAGAAAGATGTAAAATGTAAAATGTAAGCCGTATTCGGATTTCTAAAAACAAAAGAGGGAGTAGTAAGATAAGATTATATTATAAACTGAATTTTTTTATACAAACTAGATACTTTATCTCTTCCGATAAAATGTTACAGCCAAACAATCGAGCATAACATTTTATCGGAAGAGATAAAGTATCTAGTTTGTATAAAAAAATTCAGTTTATAATATAATCTTATCTTACTACTCCCTCTTTTGTTTTTAGAAATCCGAATACGGCTTACATTTTACATCTTTCTTATGTATTGCGTTGCGAGCGAATTTTAACCATTGACTTTTACATTTAAATTATTTTCTTTTACTCATTTTCTTTTCTATTTATACACTGAGGGTGGTCTAAAGAAAGACCGAAACGTCTGTAATTTTTATGTTTTAATAAACTAAATTTTTACTTTTTGACACTAACACCTAGTCAAGGCTCTTAGCCCCTTTTACTCATTGATTTTTATATTCAGTTTAGTTGGCGCCATTTGATGATATTATTACTTTTATAAAGAAGATACTTTGAAGGGGGGAGGGGGGAGAAAATAATAAAATATACATCGACAGTACATACATTTTTTTTCATAAAATTCCTAGTTTGAAAAACAATTAAACTTGAAAAAGTTAACTCCAATTCGATATCAAAGAATTTATTAATGATAAAATGAGAGCGAGCTGAAAACATGTTATGCAACAATAATCTTTTACATTTATATATGATAAACTTGACTGATTAAGATTCAAGGCAAAATAAAACAGCCAATAGAATGGTTTTCGTTGCATTAAAATGTACGGAACAGGTTACACCAGAGGCTCGCCGGCACCGAGCATCGTAAACAGGTGTATAAATTACTTCCCAGCCTAGTTCAGTGGAATGTCGAATGCTACTTATCAGATCGTCGCTACCAGCACATGCGACAAAACCGACTGGAGTCAGTCGTTCGTAGCAGCCGTAACCATGAAGTCTTTTATCAATTACTCGAGCTCCAGCGATTTCCCGATCGAAAATTTGCCGTATGGAATCTTCTCTACCAAAGATGAGGTATGAACGAAATCAACTTATCGTATAACGTAGATTGTATAAATTATGCCACGTCATGTGATTTCAGAGTGACTAAATATAGATATACAACTGCGCATTTCCAACTTTAGTAGGAAATTTGGAAGGTTTAAGAAATCATGAATCGTGATAGAATATAATAATCCTTTACGCATTTTTGTAATGTCTTTCAGATTGTTAGAAAAATTGCTCAATATTGAACATAAATTGTATATTTCTTCATAACATAATATATGAAGAATGGAATGTTTCTATTCCAGTCTGCTCACCTTTCAACGCCGCCTAGTAGCAATTTTATTTTGGTACCATCGGCTGGTACGTTACTATCGTTCGATATATGTAATTTTCACCTTATCTTTTATTAAATTCCAATAAATTATATTATATTACAGTATTGAAGAATCGCCAAATTTGTTAGACCTGCTTAAAGTATGCAAGAGTTGTAATAATGTTTTATTAATTTGTTTGTATAATTGCTATATTATTATATGCATGATCTTTATTTGAAATGTTTCAGCCAGAGAAAAAAATAGGTGTAGCAATTGGTGATGAAATTCTAAATTTACGTGCTATTGCAAATCATTTTAACGGACCACTGTTGCAAAGTAAACAGGATGTATTTCGTCGTGAATTTCTCAATGATTTTATGTCACTGGGAAGGCCAGCATGGTTAGAAGCAAGATCGAAACTTCAAGAGCTGCTTTCTGCTAACAATCATACTTTGCAAGATCCGGAAGTCCGTTCTAAGTGAGTAATCGACAAACAAAAAATTTCTATTATAAATTCATCAGATGAATTGAGATCTTTAAAGTCATATTATAATTTCGTAATATCTCTTTTCAGAGTCTTCGTCGCACAGAAAGATGCTGTGATGCATTTACCAGCAAAAATTGGAGATTATTCAGATTTTTATTCGTCCCTTCAACACGCTACAAATGTCGGAATTATGTTCCGTGGGAAAGAAAACCCGGTGCTGCCGAATTGGTAATGTTTCTAATTGTACATTTGTATTTTAGAAACTATAGAAATAAAATGTATATGTATAAAAATATTAATAGTTGAAATAGTAAAATTATGTATGAAAAAATGTATATATATATAAACTTATATATATATGTATGTGTAGGAAATATTTGCCGGTTGGATATCACGGAAGAGCAAGTTCCATTGTTGTGTCAGGCACACCCATAAAACGACCATATGGTCAAACCCTTCCAGTCGAAGGTGCAGCACCTGTTTTCGGGCCATCTAAATTAATGGATTTCGAGCTGGAAGTTGCTTTCTTCGTCGGACCACCAACAAATCTTGGCGACACAGTTCCAGCTTCGAAGGCCTATGATCATATCTTTGGCATGGTCCTAATGAATGATTGGAGCGGTATGGTTTTATAATTTAAAAATATGATGTTATAATTAAAAGAATTTACCCTTTAATTAATTTAAATGTATATTATGTATATCTATACAGGGTGTACCACCGGATATATTTTTAACCACAGATTCTTCAGAAAATTTCAGGACGAAAATTCTAATACAAAAATGTCGAGGCTACAATAGTTTTTAAATAATAAGCGATTATATTTCACAAATGACAGGACTGAGATTTCGCTCAGACACGGCGACATGACGGTGAAATATAATCACTTATTATTTAAAAACTATTACGGACATTTTTGTATTACAATTTTTGTCTTAAAATTTTCTAAAGAAACTGTGATTAAAAAGATATCCAGTGGTTTTAGTACACTCTGTATTTTTTTATATACCTATATAGATTTTTATTTTTCTTTCTATTTTGTAGCCAGAGATATTCAAAAATGGGAGTACATTCCCCTCGGGCCCTTCGGCGCGAAGAACTTGGGAACTTCCATTTCTCCATGGGTCGTTACGATGGAAGCTCTAGAGCCTTTTAAGCTACCAAATGTGACACAAGATCCTAAACCATTCCCGTATTTGCAACATGACGAGTCTTGTAATTTCGATATTAAACTTGAAGTTGATCTTAAACGTGAGTTGACATTGTTTTATTACGTTTTTCATAACAGTCCTTTATTGTATACATATATCTGTGTATAATGTTTGTTTTATTGTATTGTTTTTAATTGTATGCTATTCTCTTATTTTGCAGCTCCAAGTGGTGTAGCTACAACAATATGCCGGAGCAATTTCAAATACATGTACTGGACTCCGCGACAGCAATTGGCACATCATACGATAACCGGATGCAATATTAATCCTGGCGATTTAATGGGTTCCGGCACGATAAGTGGAAACGTGCGTTTGAATTTTTTAATCGATATTCTATCAGCATAGTTAAACACACCAAATTAATTTTTGTCATATCTTATCTAATTTCTTTCGTGCGTGACATCTATCCTTTTTAAATTATAACTTTTATCACACAATTTTAACATTGATTATTTAGACTGCGGATTCTTATGGCTGCATGCTGGAATTATGTTGGAAAGGCACACAAACTATTCCATTAAAGGATGGTACTACAAGAAAGTTTCTTCAAGATGGAGATGAAGTAATCATTCGTGGTAAGTAAATAAATTTATCAAATCTTACATTATGTGTATAACGATTTACTAACATAATTGTAACGATTAACTAATTTCCCAGGTTGTTGTGTTGGCGACGGCTACAAGGTTGGTTTTGGATCATGTACTGGTAAATTGTTACCCGCTAACACACAGTGAAATTGGTGTATAAAATATGGCAAAGATAAGTTAAACATATTTTGTCGTCTTTTGCATATTTTATATTTGATCTTTATAATATAATAAACTTTTCCTTGTGTACTTATTTTTAATTATTTCAGTGTATTTTTACAAATCCAGCAATAAAGAGATTTGAAAAATATTTAATTTTAATTAAAAAATTTAATTGCATACGCATTTACGAATTAAGCCACAAGTTTATGATGAAGATGCAAGGTACATAAAAATTTGCAAATTATATTTTTTTCTGTAATTATTATTTATGAAGCAACTGTTTATTTATTGTAAATAATTATTTGTAATTTTTTACGTATACTTTGTATTATTTACTGTCAATGAATACAATTTATATAACCGAAACATTAACATCAAATGGATTACTATGATGTACTTAAAGGAGCAATATTGTGTGGTATGACGTATAAAATGACTCGATTATTGATTGAGAGTTAGTCGCAGTAAGGCCGATCAATAAGGAGACTAGTACAGGTGCAGGCAGAAGAAACATGGCAGGCGTTCTACTTCGGTAAGCAAAATACACGAATCTGAACTATATAAAGGTGTTTTTACACATAAAAGATTATTTAATATATAAATAATTTAAAACTATCGTAGTATAGCTACCAATAATTTTATTTCCATAAGTATAAACTGGACAATGTCAAGGTCTAACATTGCACTTGCATTTGTAGTTGCACTAATGGTCACCGTTGCAGCAGTGAAGGATTGCAATTATTTTACCAATCTAATGAATGCACATTCCATTTGTTTAAACACACACACATGCACGCACATATAGGTCTTCTATTATAAAAATATGTATTTTAATCACATTATCTTAGTGTTATCATATAGTCTTTAATATTGTACTCTGTACTTATTATCAAAAGTTTCCAAAGTAATATATCGATTGCTATAGAATATCGTTTGTCTGATACCTTACGTTTGACGTTAACTAATAATGCCAGCATTTACATAGCGCTCCCCGATGTATTATTCAATATTATTTTTTCAATGCTACATAGCGTTTATTTTGACACCTATTTAGAAGTCTTCACAACCTGGAAACTATAGCGAACGAACCTACCGCTAAATGGACCGTTCCTTTGAGCGACGGGAATCACGTGGTGGAGTTTGAACATGGAACAGCAACAGGCCGACGCGTGGTAAAAATTGATGGCAGTAATATAGTTCACAGAGATTGGATGTTTCGTCTGGTTGGTGATGAAGTATTTATGTTCAATAACACCAAGTTCGTGATCAGAGTTGATCCAATGCCAGGTAGAACCTCATCGTCTCATTCCCTTCGGGTGATGAGTATTCTATTATTTTTATTCTTTTGTTATCGCGATTAAAATAGGTCTGAAATATTCGTACTCGTTGTGGGTGAACGGAAAGAGCTACAAACAGTTTGTCCAGACGCAGTCAAAAGTGTTAGAAACTTGGTTGGCCACAGTTGGGAACGAGGACTATAGAATTGTGTTAGGTAACAAAATCAAAGCAGTATATTATATGTATACATACAGCTGAAATACTTGACTTCTCTCCTCTGTTTCACGATTTGCAGACAAACACGCTCACAGCGTCTGCGTGAATGGACAAGAAGTGGAAGTTGAGGTAATTTATAGGATTAGAAAGTTTTACTTTACGTATTATTTTGTGTATTTACACAGATCTTTTATTTGATAACATGTAATTTAAATATCGATTTGTATAGAACGAATTTATGGACGGCGGTGCAGAAATTCTCTTCTCCGTTGGCGATGTACCGGCCGCTATCAGATCTTATAGCTCGGAGCAAAAAGAGATCGGTATAGCGTACGTTTTATATATCAACGACGTTGAAATACAGCAAGAAGCTTTATTGGAAGAATCTTAAATATATACACCTTGACTTGTCTGATTGTAAGAGTTTTCATATTTGATATACTAATCGATAAGTATGTGCACACTATCGATAACCCCCTACGAAAAAGCAACGAAATAATTACTGTATGTACATCAGTAATTTCTAATGATTCAATTACTGGTATACAGTAATTTTCTAGTAATTATTTCGTTACTTTTTCGTAAGGTATACTATAAGTTATACGCATCATAAATGACGACAGCCTGTAATGTGAAACACAAAATGTGAAACACAATATTTAAAACTGTTATTCTTGTAAAGAAATAATTACTGTATGTACATCAGTAATTTCTAATGATTCAATTACTAGTATACAGTAATTTTCTAGTAATTATTTCGTTACTTTTTCGTAAGGTACTATAAGTTACATGCATCATAAATGACGACAGCCTGTAATGTGAAACACAAAATGTGAAACACAATATTTAAAACTGTTATTCTTGTAAAGTCAGATTTAATCACAGTACTATTGAATGTGCCATGCAACTTTGTGTACAATTTTTAAACTATGAGTGTAAAATCAAATTGTGTGATAAAATAAAATGAATACAATATATTGTAAATTTAATTGCTTTAATTTACGCACAAAGGTATTTCATTATCAAAAAATAATACTTGAAGATAGCTGAAGTTCATATCCTTACTTATGTGACATAAAAATTATGACATATAGCGAAATCGTTTACTTAAACACATATGTGTAATGTTGGATACTTTCAATAAAATACCAAATTTGACATGAATTAAACAAATTGTTATATCTAAAGATTAAATTTTAAAACCAAATATGTCACGACATCAAATCAGTGCCCTCAGTATCGGATCTATAGGTTTAACTCCTAGAGATGAATTTTGTTATTATGAAGGTAAGGAAATTTATAACTTGATCGTATCTTAAACATCCCAAAATCTTTATTGATCTGTAGATATGAGTGAAGCGGAATTACAACAGGCACTTGAAAATATTGTTTATTCGAATCTATTCCTGAGGTTAGAAAATGACATTTTTGAACAATATCTCGCGCGTCGGGATCCTGAAAGTCTTCAAAGTAATTTTTTAAATTTATTTATGCTTATATTTTAAGTTTTTCCTGAAATTCTTATACTCCCATTTTAGATTGAGCCTCTTGCAGATATAGAATTAACGTTGTCTCTTAATATACCTTGTCTAGCAATTGCGCAAATCTTAGAAACCGCTAAGCGCGTACAAAAAATCGCGCCTCAACACGCTCGCACATCGCCCGTTATGAGCGTAGCCGGAAGTCTTATGAATGTTGGCGACAAAGATTCAGTGAGCGTCACCAGCGTGCAATCCGGAAGTCGACACGTCACGCCAAGTCTTTTAACAGCCAGAGTACCAACGGGAGGAACAAAGTCCATCCGCTAGATAACTTCTACTAATAACTTCTGTTACAGATTGTAATTACAATATTTCTTGTCGAATCGTAGAATCACGTATATGCATCGTATCGAAATGGCCAACACCGAAATCCGGGAATTACAGAAAGGATTAGAAAAGTTCGAAAAGACATCGGCGAAGAAAAGTGTATGTCTACGAGCGCGAGTGGAAGAAAGTCAGATTAGCATTCACGAAACTTGTAAAAATAGGGAGGAATTTGAAGAGAACGTTGTACAGAAAGGCATCGATAGCATTACGGGGAAAATACCGGCTGAAAAGTTTATCAGGTGTTATAATAATCACCTCCACACAACTATACGTTAACTTCTTGACGTAGATCTAATTATTTAGTAACATTAACTCTCTCTCTCTCAGATCTAGTTAATTAAATCTAATAAAGATATAAAGACTCAATCATTTTATTATGTAGATTTACAGAAGAGTGGTTAAAAGTAGTCGACATTATAATGGAACAAATCAGATTGAAAATGACTACCGTAAAGTGTCAGATAAGAAAAATCAGGTTGCAGCTAGCGCAGAGAAGAGAATTGGGCGAGGCTCTACGCTCCATAGACTTCGAACAATTGAACATAGAAAATGAAGTTTGCATACAAAAAATTGACGAGAAAAATCGGTATCTGCTCGAAATGAAGAGAATCGCGGGTAAGGGATAGAAACTCTTAAATTTTTGCAGTACCTAAACGATCAAATTTGATACAGGCCACTATAACATTACATTGAGCAAACACAAAAAAAAGGTGGATGGCTTAGTGTCAACTATGAATAAAGTGAGAAATAATATCGTTTTCAAAAGACAGGAGAGCGCAAAATTGCAATCAGAACAAACTGCTACAAAAATTGAAATAGAAAAAGCGGAAAAACAGCTTGAGTCGATGATAGATTTAATAAACAAATTTGAGGTAACATTCTTTTTTATTTGTACAACTTAACGTATTGAATTTTAATACATTTATTTACATGAAAACTTTTTTCCTTGTACAATATTTAACTTTACTTTTTGCACAAAAAGTTGAATAAGATTTAAAGAGGATTTGTAATTATTTATTATCTCCTTATTTATACAAAGTGTCCTAAATGCAGGTTCCAAGTGTTATAGATACCATTAAAACGCGTATGAAGCTACAGGAATTACAAAGAATCCATAAACAATTAAGCAGACGAAGAGAGATTCAGCGAATAGTAACTCTCAAATCTCGAAAAAAATTACGAGACCTATCATATACGTAATAGTAATATATATTGTGTAATGTAAGAAAATATTTAATAAATTAAGACAAAGTTTTACCTTACTTAACAAATGTATTTTTGCTAATATTCGTTTTTAAAATCTTTTCTGTTTTTAGGAAAAATTCAAAATATCCACTATTGTATTGGCAGTCCAAATCGCATAGAATAGTAGGCACAATTATATGAAATCAAGAAGATATATCGTATTTCTTTTCTGCCGTAGAAAATAGATTTGTACCGTTACAGGAAATATTCTTTTCTTACAAACAGCATATCAGTCAAACTCTTTTCACAACACTTCTTCTTCACACTTGAGAGATCGTAGCATAGTTTCCAATTTTATTTAATAGATTTAAAAATGTATTATAAATATATTTAACAACAGAAATTACATTTATCTACTTGCATTTATTTTAAAATTTTACACAAGTAAAATTGAAGAAACTTCTCTGAATCAGGTTTTATTCAGAACAGGATTTTTCTCAATATATAATACAAAGCTTAAAATTTATGTAGATCCAGATACTCCTCATATATTTTATTGAGAATAATTTATCTAATTTCGTTTCGTTAAAATTTGTTTAATTTTTTTTCTACTTCAAGTTTAACACACTGTGCAACAACAAATTTTTGCGTAAGAATCGTCTGCAATATCATGTTATATCATTAAAATGTTAACTTAAAAGAACAGAAAAGTACATAGAGTTATATGTGAAGTTATATGTGAAGTACATACGTGTGTGGAAAGTGATAAGTTTCCGTTAATTAACTTTATTGCGTTGCGTACTTGTGTCATTTTAACATTTTTATGAATTCTCTGTAGAGATAAAGGCAGTTTACCAACATTAAAGTCAGATATTTTTGCACTGTAGATATATGTATAGCTAGAAAAACATTGAAGATTACGAGTTTTTACGAATTCACTATTGTGACATACATTTAACCAAATAATTACGAAGTTAAAGCGATGTAGAAAGATTTTGGCGTGTGCTACGATGCGTTAGGTAGTTACGCTTCACGCACCGATAGTGCCTGTCCCTTCCTCTTTTTGCCCATGGAATATCCGTCCCGGAAAGACCCATCTCTCCTTCTGCCACGATTCAGTTTTACCGCGACGACAGCATCGAGTCTTGGTACTTTAACTCAGTTGTCGAATGACTGATCGATTGTTGTGCTAAAGTCAACAAATTTAAACATTACGTTTACATAGCAAGTTGTTCCATATAATCGTTCAATTTTCTTCAAATTTTTGACACATTATTACATTAGCTAAGCTTGATTTAAATTATGGCTCAGTTTCTGCTAGGGACAGTGTAAACTTTTATATTATGTAACTTATATTACAAAAATAATACTATTTTGTCGTGTAATGTAAATGTGAGGTGATTACCTTCTCACTGCACGTCTTTCCTCCTCGCCATCTTTACCCCCCATCTGATTAATATCAGAATATTTGTGTAAAACCTAAATAATATTTATAAATATACACACAATTGCTCACGCATTTCTTTTTAAGTCGTCATTGTGCTTATCTAAGTATTCGCATTGTGACAATACAAGATATTTCTTGAGAATGAAAAACATCTTAAAATGTGTACGAGGTTTGTCATGTCAATTATTGGCGCAAGGATGAATTTGTCACAGAGAATAACGACAATAGCTATTCGAAATCTCGTTGCTTTCTTCGTTATTCTATTACATGGAGAAACTTATGGAAAGTATTTGGAGGTAAGACTGTGAATCAATTTCTTCGTAAAAGTTAGATTTTGGTCATACTTGGAAAATCATAGATCTCCTTCCAAAATACATCAGTTAACTGGCATTGAAATTATTATTAGCATATCGCACTATATGTTTAATACGTAGATTATTAGACTTTACTTATTTACTGCTCCTAATTGTTAATATTAAATAAAATACATGCTTTGTTCGATTAACTTACAACTAATAATTGTGGCAGACTCCAAGCAGTATTTATTTTTAACAATTCTCTTTTATGTATTATTTAAAGGGTCTCAATATGAATTTAGGAGATGCCCTTTTATTCTTAAGAGAATATGATAACGCAGCTTCATTAATGTGTACAAGAGTGACAATAGCCCAATGGAACTTCGCGACCAACGTCACTGATGTTAACCACCAGAAAATGGTGCAACAAACTTTTTTAATTACTTACAAAATGATATAATATAAATAATTTATATGCAATATTTTATAAATCTGTCATCTAACATGTGATTATCAGATGGACGAGCAAACATTAAAGTTAAAATTTGAAAGAGCCTCTTGGCGGAAAGCAGTCACCTTTGCTTGGAGTCGAATACCAGATCCTTTAGCAAGAAGAGAACTTAAAATGATAGCTACGAAAGGTCGAAGTTCCTTGACCGACGATAAATTTAATGAGGTGGCTAAATGTCTCGTAATAAAAATGAGATTAATTTGTAATCCCTTAATCAGCACATAAACGTGAATGAAAGGGTTTGCATATTATTAAGTGTTTAAGAGACAAATGCTATTAAATCAATGTAATCTGCGATCCTATTTATTATTGCGTTTATTTATGTAAGTATGATAACTACATCTAATTTGCAGATACACCGTTTAATAGCGGAAATGAAAGAGATTTATGTTAAAGCTAGAGTATGTCCGTACAAACAAATTGATGGCGAATGCAATTTGAATCTGGATCACGGTTAGTCAATTAACTTCCCAGTAAACACAGAATATTGCAGCAACGTTACAGCAATGTTACAACATTGTCGCAACGTTGCTGCAATGTTCTGTGTTTGCTGGGTTAATTTATCAATTAACAAAAATAAATGCATATCTTGATGCACATGTAAAATTGCAAAAGAAATTGTGTATATAGGTACGCGCTTTCATATGTGTGTAAATCACTTTTAGATATAAATCAAATAATGGCACAGTCAAAAGACTACGACGAATTATTACATTATTGGCATGCTTGGCATGAAGCAATTGGTCCACAACTTCAAAATAAATATTTGAGATATGTTCAATTGGCAAATCTGGCAGCCAAGTTAAATGGTACGAAGGGCTTTGACTCTAAAATGTGGTATTCTGTTTCACCGCATAAAATTATTTAAAACATATATTTCAAGCTAATAAATATATTAACGTGTTTTTTTTTGTTTTGTGAAAGGTTTCGCCGATGCTGGTGACCAGATGAAAGAATTGTTTGAAGATGAATATTTCCAGCAAAACATAGCGGAGATAATGTCAGCCATAACTCCGCTTTACAAGAATCTTTTTACTTACGTGCGCACAAAACTGATTGAAAGATATGGTGATAGAATACGGGAGGATGGGCCTTTACCGGCGCATATTTTAGGGGATATGTGGGCTCAGAATTGGGAAAATCTTTTCGAATTAGTGCAACCATTTCCTGCAAGCAGAAAGCTCGATGTAACTTTGGACATGATGATTGAGGGCATAACTCCAATGAGGTATGTTTTAGATCATACGTGTAATAGTTGCATGTAAATTCACAAAATACCAATAATTTTCTAAAGCGATTTTTGTTTATGTAAAAAGGATGTTCCAAATAGCGGAAGAGTTCTTTACCTCGCTCGGAATGAAACCGATGCCACCGGAATTCTGGAAATTCTCCATATTTGAAAAACCTATTGATAGAGAAATCAAGTGCACCCCTAGTGCATGGGATTTTTGTAATAAAATTGATTACAGGTGTCCTTGTTTATTATGTCACATAACGAGAGTTAATTTTTAATGCTCATTTAATTTTAACATATTCTTCTATATTTAACCTATTGCGTGTCACAGTTCTCCAAATTGAGTTTTTTTTTATATATAATTGCAGAATAAAACAGTGTACTAGAGTTACGATGGAAGATCTACTGTCTACACATTATGAAATGGCACATTTGCAATATTATTTGCAATACAAGGATCATCCAATGTTATTTCGAAACGAGGCAATTCCAGGTAAATCTTATTCATACATTCACGTGTTCATACCTATGTCTTATGGTTTTGTATGTTTCGTTAACAATAATTTTTTAATTAGGATTGCATGAAGCTGTTAGCGACGCAATTGGTTTATCGATTTTCACTCATCAACACCTGCATAAAATTGGACTGCACGGTAATTTAACAGACGATTACAATAGTAACATAAATTTTCTAATGCTACTGGCTCTTCGCAAAGTGGCTTATATACCCTTTGCTTACATAGTCGATCAAGTGAGTAATGACAAACATTTAAATGATTAATAATAGATAACTTTCACGTATAATAAGCACTGTTACTACTTATACTATTTGTTTATAAAATGGTTTTTGAAAAGATAAAATAATATTGTTAGATATGTAAGAATACATAATTAAATAGTCGTAAATTACATGCATTAATTTTTCGAAATAGTGGAGATGGCGCGTTTTCAGCGATGGCGTGGAAGATATGACTGCACATTGGTGGGAATTAAGGTTGCAATATCAAGGCATTGTTCCACCTGTACCGAGATCCGAAAGAAATTTCGATCCAGCGGCAAAGTATCACATTCCAGCAGACAGTCCTTATGCCAAGTAAAAACATAATAAATATGTTTATTCTCATTATAGAGACAGTTTATATTATTACTTTTGTACCTTTAATTTTTAGGTATTTTGTAAGTACTGTATTACAGTTTCAATTGTTCCAGTCCCTGTGTGAAATTTCTGGTCACACTGGCGAATTGCACACCTGCGATCTTTACAGATCGCGAGAAGCGGGTCGATTATTATCGTACGTAAAGTTTACAAAAACACCAATGAAATATCAATCTAATAATATCTAATAGCTCGTTAGTAAAATGAGATTTCCGTGTTTGCAGAGATGTTCTGTCGACGGGAGCTTCTAGACCGTGGCAAGACGTTGTCAGGCAAATGACAAGAGGTAGGACGAATAGAATAGACGCTGGTGCCATGCTCAAATATTTTGAGCCTTTGCATGCATGGTTGAAACGACAAAATGAGATGCAGCCTGTAATCGGTTGGATCACAAGTCGCGACAGAGGTTGGTTTAACACAAGTATTTATTAAATAGCTCCGAATATCGTCCAGTAAAAGGTGCAAAGTGTATCTTGTGAGAATAGGAATATTTCACTTTGTTTCAGCATTATTCGCTCAATGGTATGAAAACAGCGCACGGAGAATGAAATTGTGGAATTTATTTCCACTATTGCTTTTAAGTTGTAAAATTTTTATTTATTAACACGTATATTACATCTGATGATTTAAAATATTTACACGTACAAATCTTTTTACATATCATGTTATGAAGAAAAAGAAAACTAATTTAATTTATTGTATACATATGCATTATGAAAGATAGCTTTTAAATAAAAAGATTTCTGTTAGACATATTTTTATCAGCTCTCTGTTTAACGCAGAAACGTTTAGCTTCACCATTTTATTATCCCTTAATTTTATTTCTTACACACAATATTTACTGAAAAAATTTTTAAGTGCTCTTGTAAAAATTAACAATCTTTAATCATGACGAAAAGGCGACTTTTAGTCGACGTTTTTTGGGTCATTCGCCGACTTTTAGCCGACTTGAAGTCGACTTTCGTCCTTAAAATAATCGACTTTACGCCACGTCATATTTCGGTACAGTTGAAAACTTTAAGTCGACATAAAGTCGACTTTTTGTTGTTAGGGTAATTATTAGGAATATTCAGGGTTGGGAAAGTTACTTTATAAAAGTATCCAGTTACAGTTACTGTTTTTTCGCTGAACATGTAACTACCCAGGTAGCAAGATGTCGTCAATATAACGTCATTTTTAAGTCAATAACATGACGAAACTCACGTCATAAAAGACGTCAAAAACGAAATCATAATGACGGCTATAAGTCACAGACCGATGACGTGATACTTATGACGTCAAAATCGTAGCACAATTATGTCGAGAAATATACGTAATTTTATGAATATTATGTAATATATATAAAAATACTATTATACAACATTTATTTTACTTATTTTAAATGTTTGATATATTTATTATGAATTATGGTAAGGAAAATTAATCGTAAAGTGATATTATCTATTTCTATATATGCAGTTAAGGGGATGCTGGAGTGATTC